TCTCCCAGGGCAGCCCATTCCAGTGCTCTGCCAATGAAAAGAAGTTCTTCCTCATGTTGAGATGGAACTTTTTATGTTTTAGTTTATGAACACTGTTCCTTGTCCTGTCACTGGGCACCACTGAAAAGAGTCTGGCACCATCTTCTTGACGATGTCTTTTGAGATATGTGCATGTATTAATTAAATCCCCTCTCTCTCTTTTCTTCTCCAGATTGAACATACCCATCTCTCTCAGTCTTTCCTCCTAAGAGAGATGCTCCAGACCCCTAACCATTTTTGTGGCCCTCCACTGCACCCTCTTGTAAGATTCCAGCTCTGGGAGCTGCCAACTCACGAACTCAGCTAGGAGTTTTACTTTAAAATATAAATATAGGGTTCTTTAATACCTCGAGACAGCATCAAGAGAATAAGCCACAGATTTTTTCTCAAGGGATTTCTTTATTAATTTAGGGCAGCAAATAAGGGAACTTGGCTAAAGTTCAAAAGGACACCACACAAGCTAGACAAAATGTTCCACCACAGTACTGACTCAGTATATGCTATTAATCCACAACATTTAAATCAGAATCCAATCCCTTCAGCTCCAAGCCACCCTAAGCATCAGGAAAGGAGCAAAGAAAGAGAAGCAGAGGGAACAAAAAGACAGAGAAAGAGGGAGAGAGAGCTACCACTGAAACCTTGTAGAAGGCCAGCTCTCACAATTCCAAGTGGCAGGGCCACGACGCAAGGCAAAGACATGCCTATGGTTTTATCTGCTCTGGTCGCTATGGCCAGCCCCTCTAGGCCACCAGCCACTCTGGGGCTCCAGGCCAGGGTGGGGGGCAGTATCCTCACTGGCCCTGCCAATCTGTGCTGGGTTAGGGGCTCCAGGACGTGTGGTGTGTTATAGTTTTCCCAGGCTGTTTGTGACTGACAGCTACCCCGGGGCTTCCCCATGTGGGCTCCAGGAGCCTGCCATGGGGGATGCAACGCCACCTCACCTTCATGACGTTTGACCCCTCCTTCCCCCTCCACACACACACACACACACACACACACTCCCCATAAGGTGGTTCTGACCCAATAATAACTGGTCGAATGTCTAACACCTCTCCAGAAGCAACTTGTCTTTCTTGTACTGAGGAGCCCACAACTGGACACAGCGCTCCAGGTGTGGCCTCACTAAGGCTGAGTAGAGGGGAAGGATCCCCTCCCTCGACCTGCTGACAGTGCTCTTCCTAATGTCCCCCCCCGGATCCCATTGGCCCTCCTGGCTGCAAGGGCACACCGCCAGCTCATGGTCAGTTTTTCATCCACCAAGACTCTGAGGTCCTTCTCTGCAGAGCTGCTCTCTGGGTAGTCAGCCTCCAACCTGTACTGGTACTTGGGGTTATTTGTCCGCAGGTGCAGTGCTCTACACTTGCCTTTGTTGAACTTCATTAGGTTTCTCTCTGCCCAACTCCCCAGCCTATCAGGGTCCCACTGAATGGCAGCACAGCCTTCAGGTGTATCAGCCGCTTCCTCCAGAGTATGTTTCAAAGAGAATGTTGGAAGATCTTAGTAGGATTTCTATAGCAAGCTTCAAGTGTGATGTGATGGCATTCAGAGGATTAGAGAAGGTTAATTAAACATCTTTGCATGCTCTGTTTCTGATATGCTTCATCCCACTTGGAGTCACCACTTGTCTAGTTTTGTTGATCACTGTACTGGCCTAGTGCTAAAGTGGTGCTAGTGATGCATAAGACAGTATAGCACCAGATGTCTTTAATGTTTCTGAAGCTACTAAGATAATTCAGAGTGGCTTTTAGGACAAGTCCTTAAGTGCAAGAATCCCGTGGTAATATTGTTTAATTTTGCCTGACTAGCAGGTTGTTTCTTGCTTGTTTTCCAGGCATAGGTGAATAATTTTTAGTTACTTTTAATACCCCTTTCCCTAACATCCCCCCCCAAGTTAACTAGACAGCTAGTTCTTAAAGCCATATTGAATAGATGATTAAAAAAATTAAAAATGCAGATAAAAACACATGTATATATTGGAAAGCATTAAGTAGTGTAATTATAGGACTCACTAGAGAGCTCTGCCTATAATGGTAAAAACATACCTGTCAAAGTAACAAAAATACTGTGAACCAGTCCTTAAATATTTTCATTGTTGGTCACCCAACATCCGAGAATGGAGGATGAACTCGCTAATGGGTAGATACAGCCAGTTCTAAATATGTTAAAGAAATTACACTCTTGGACCATGACTGAGCATGTTCTATCTTTGGTAGCTATTTGAAGTGTGAAACTCTTGGCTACTGGAGAAGAAATACTTTGGAATTTCGTTTTGATACAGTAATTACTATTCTGCCTCAGTACTGTACTGTATTTTGTTCTTCTTTATTTGTAGGGTTGGCTCCTTCCCTTTTGTGCTTGCCTTTACTCAGTTGACAGCAGGGTGAAGCTGAGATTATTTAGAAATGCTCTTGGATCTGATCAACATCTGTGAAACTTAACAGAATTGCTAATTGCATTCTACTGTTTGTGTAAACTATTAATTATGATAGAGACCCTGGAGTTGTATGTCTGAAAACTCAAGCAGTGCTGCATCAATTTATATTCATAAGGTTTTTTCTTTCTTTTTTCTCAAAATCATAACATAATATGGATTGGCATATTTTAGACAGTGGATAGCCTGGATCTTCCAATCTTGCTAAAAAGGAGTTGCCTACACTATGTATCAGTCTACCAGGTAGTTTGAGTGGATTTTTAAAATTAACTCCTGCCATTGTTTAAAGCTCTCTCTCCTTCCTGTAAGTTTTGGGGTTTGTAATTAATGTTTTGTGAAAGAATTAATGTCTAGGTCTCCTGTTAGAACTTGGCTGCAATAACATGGTCATGGACTTCCAGGGATGACTAAAAATCCTAACAACTCTTAGGTGCTGAGCAAACTGACAGTCCATCTTTTTTTTGGAGGGGGGTGAACTTGTTAGAGATCAAATAGGAATTATTTTTAATGCAAATTGTTTGGTGTACTAAGTAATGGAATTAGAATAAAGCGAAGTAATGCTATGGTGAAATGTCACAAGTTAATATTTTGAGAAGCATTAGCATGCTGTTACTATGAAGAGATAATTTAATTTGCCTGTGATTCCTGAAGTTCTTGGGTCATGTTGTTAAAAAGTGACTTAACTAAGCTGAAGATAATGTTACATGTTGAAAATGTTCATAATCTTTTGGTTAATAATATTTGCTGTAATCCATTTATCAGTGCTTTGCAAACTGTGTTTTATCTTCTTAACTGATCTTCTCCAAACATACAAAGTAATTTTTATCTTAAAAGATTTCATAACTTTATTTTTGGTGGAGAATTTGCGTGCTTCTAATTCAAGAGGCCATCAGGCTTGCTTGTAGTACTACTGCTGTATGTTTGTGCACTTGTGCATGCATAATATTTGCCCCTTTCTTTTTCTGGCATATATCCTTTAAAGAAGAGGAACGTGTGCAAAATGCATAGCAAGGTCAAGGCTATGAGCCTCTACAATTGTCAGCACTGGAGGAAGATTTTCTGGAATCATTATCATTTATCAGCTTTCTTATTTTTCCTTTGTCTAAAAGCTCAGATAAGGAAACTTCTATTGGTTTTACACACTTGAACGTATATAGCAGGAACTTTAACACAGTTTACTCTTTAAATATTACACTTCTAATAGGCTGAGACTGGTTACCAGTCTCACAAAACTCAGCAAGTGTTTGCAACCACAATGAACGCAGAGGGCAAGTGTGCTGAGGCCAGAGGGGTGAAAAAGATTGGGAGCAGGAGAAATGTGACCATCTCTTTTATTAGCAGCTTGTCTTTGTAGCAACTTAAAAGTGAGAAATTTCAGCTGAGTTTCTCAGACCTAGCTAGTTATTGGCAAATCCAACAATCAGAAGCTATTGTATATGGCTGTCAATGAACATTAACCACTTACTACATTTTCCGAAAGGGTTTTGTGAACATAAATTGAGAGTCATGTAGTGTTCCAGATCTCACATATGAAAATATTTTTCCTCTCTCAATTTGATTGATGTAAGTAAGCTACTAGAGCACTGGAGTCAATGTAACTGTCAGAAAAAAAGGTAAATCAAACTCTTAACTTACACTGTAATTTATTTGGTTCCTAAAAATACTATTTAGTAACTTGATATAGGGTTTTGTCTCATTATTTCGGAACAGTTTTGCTTTGTTTCATGTTTTGGTTCAGTCAGCAGACAGCACAATTCTGAAATCTCAGGCTGTAAGAAAGGCTGAAAGAACCTTGAACTTATATATAAATGAGTATAATCATGAGAAGAATATTTTTTTGAAATCTATTACACATCCTAACAGCATTAGATTGCATTACATTAAATATATATATCCAGTTTGAATTCAAATTCCGGTCTCCTTCTCTTCATGTTTTCATCTCTAGGGATTTAAATCTCTTCTTAGATACTGACTTGAAAAAATGGTTAATTCATCTTGTGGTATTTTTACAAAATAGCCTTCTAGTAGTTTAAAAACAATATAAGGAATTTTTTTAAATGTAGTTAGAATTCTAGTGTATAAGAGCACTGATGATAAATAGTCAAAAGCAAGCAATTTATAGTGTATATAACTGAAATATTGATAGAATTTTTAGAATAGTGGGTTGTTCATGCATAACTGAGAGCGTATAGGGCTCGGTGGTATATGATGATAACTCATCCACAGAAGTTTAAAAAAGTTACAGTATAAATGCCTGAAACATTTTCTTTATCTTTGGCTAAACCAGGATCTGTCTTTTAAATTGCGTGCTTCTTTACTACCAAATGATAAAAATTGTATTTTGGCTGTTCTGAAATGATCTAATGCATATTTTCTGGTTATGTCCTGCCTTTATCAATATCTGTTGTCTCATAAACTGCTGTATTGTTTTATTATGTTTTTAATAGCATGGAAAAAATGAGTAAAGTTCTGCAGTGTTCTTTATTTCTTGATTTATTTTCATTTTCCTCCTTTTTGCATTGAATGACAGCTGTTAGCCGGAATGATAGCAGAACCTGCTTTTCTCTCTGAGTATACTATCTTTGCTTTGGATCCCACCAAACAACCTAAGCCACAGAGTGACAGTGTGGTGAGTCCTCCCACCCCTCTTAGTAATGCCTTTAGCAGGTGGAGGAGAGTAATGTACTAGAAGGCAAACCTAGTGTTGCTTGTGGCTTCTTCTCACAGAGACATCCATCTTAACTACCTTATTGCTAACCCTGCACTAAATTTCACAGAGGTAGTACCTGATAGCTCCTGGCTGGTGTGCTGTATGATGTGAATTTATCGTAACATAAAAAAATTAACATTTTCTCTTATACAGGTAACCGTACCCTACACAACTTTTAAATAATTGTTGCACAAGTTTGTATGTTTGTTGCATAGAATCTTCCACTTCATGTTTGTATATGTCTGTATATATTTCAAGATAAATGGATAGGATAAACATTGGGATTGGTTTTGTGTAAAAATTACATGCTTTTTGCTGTGTACAAGAAAGGTTGCTTGTCATTTACTACTAATGGTAGCAGGAAATAATTATTTCACATAGACTTTGAAATTAATCTATATCTAGTTGGTACCCTGGCAGCTATTATTGTGAAGATAACTAACCTTTTTTATAATAATTGATTTTTATTTTAAATATACATTTCTTTGCCTGGAATGTTGTTTTCATCGTATATAAGTGGAGAAGCTCAGTGAGAAGAGATGAGACGTGAAGAGGAAGCAGCAGGCACAGGGACGAAAGCAGACTTCCGCTTTTTAATATAGGCACATACAAAACTGTATTCTTACTATTGTCCCAGGACTGGAATGGCATCCTTCACATGCTTCAGAGGCATGGCATTCCTGAGTCGGTAGTCAAATCACGGTATTTTTTAGAGTCCCAGCTCATCCCTGGTGCTTTTCCGGTTGAGTAAGTGCTCTTTTGCTGGTCATGCAGGGGCTGAAAATGACAAGTCACTGAAAGCTGTAGCAGGATAGAAATCTAATAAGGAGGTGGACAGAGCAAAACACACCATGTTGTGTTGGACTTTTCTCTCTCAGGCTAAGCAAGATTAGACAGAAACAATGATTAATGATTAAAATGGTGATCCATGGAAAGTCTTAATTTGTTGCAAATGGTTATGCTTTTTAGAGCATGTCCTTAAAACACAGATTCATTACCAGTTCAGTCGTGTTTTCAAGATTGAACTTTTTGGACATGCTGAAAATCTGTAGTTTCAAAATAGTTACTAAATTTTTTTTTCAGTTCTAGGTATTTTGACCATATTCGAGATCCAGCAATTGCTACTTAAAGATTCACTGCAAATTTAATTAAGCTTTTTTGGTTTTCACTATACAGAATATCTCTAAAACAGTTTTATTTCAAATAATGTATTTGTGTGATTGCTCAAATATTGTCTTTATATGATCTTTTAGTATGTACTGGCTTGCATATTTATATACAAGCCTGCATACATAGCAAATAGTTATAATGTACAAATTATTGTTAATGTGTACCAGTGTGTATTAATAATATGTTACCTGTAAAACTGATTTTTTTCTCTGAACTTTTTGAAAACTCTAGAGCAGTACTCTCACAGTACTCATTGGAGGGGGAGAAAACAATGAAAGTACAGAATGGGATGTCTGATTATAAAAACAATTATATTAAAAAGCACCCTACATTATGTATGTTTGGGAAACCTAGATAAACTAAAGATACAGGAGAGGGAAAGTTTCATCAACACACACAAATGCATGTTAATTCTGCTAAATGAAACTGTGTGTGCAACTGATATGTAATCTAAGAGAGTGAATGTCATAGAGAAGTGACTGTAATTGTGGATTTTTTTGGCATAGATGAAGTTAGTCTAAACCCTTTACTAACTAAGCTACGTAGGTTTTGTTGCATTTTGTTCAAAATTTTCTTGGACACAATGCGGTTTTTAAAAGAAAAATGAAAGGGAAATGAGGGGAAAAAATGTCTGCTAAGCTTTATTTCCTTTCTCCCTCCATAATTTACTAAGTTTTGGAATACATGAGGAGGGAGAACAGTAAAATGTTTTTAAATGAAGACATTTAAGCTTTCACTTTTCAGGCTTACTAATCTACTTATACCTTTGAGAAATAAGTAAGATGAATTTGCATTTCAGAAATAGGGAAGTAAGGAGGTGTAAATGTCACTAAAACACCCTAATGTGCTCCAGTTAAAACTGAGTTCTGATTTATACATCTTCATAATAAAAAGAAAACTTTTTATTAGAGATTGTAAGTATAGCTGTCTTTGGATAGAGATATGGATGTGTATGTTCTATGAGTTTGTTGAGGAGACACTTCTCTTGGTTTCCAAAAACCCTGATGTAACAGCTGGGTTTAAGACTTTTGAAATGCCTGCTCGTGCTCTGTGATTTTGGTTTTGCTGAAAGCTCTCATAAGACTTATGAAAGACTAGGGCATTTAAACCCTTGAAAGCCTTTTGCATCTATACTTATATATAGCAACTTCCATTTATAGTTACCTTTCAGTGTGTGGACACCTGAATACAACCCTTTGCACAGTGATGTAGGCTTGTAGCAGCTACATACCTATGGTGGTCCAGTTTTTATACAAAAGATTACCAGTGTATACCTTTTATTATTTATGCCAGTGGAAAGTCTAACCTCGGATGTAGTTTCTACTTTTGTTCACACAGATTGAGTACAAAGACACCAGCATAAAAAGTAGGAAAATTCTAAAAGTGGCGGCATTAGTTTAGTTTTGAAATTACATTTTTGAGGATCTTTGTAAATCCTTAAATGGCAGATTTTTTTTTTTTGTTCCTTCAAAGAAAGGAACAGCATCCATGGGTTTTGTGTTAATAAAAACCTTATTAAATTTAATAAATCTACTTAATCTTGTGTTTTAAAATAGATGTTAAATATTAAATTATTCTTATGAATTACATGTACAAACTCTTCATAGTTTTCTCTAATTCTCTTTTATGTATATCAGAATATATGATTTTTGAAAGAAGTGTATGCAGTTAGTTTGTAATTCTTGGTAAAGTATTTGTCTTTCTCTGTTGTCAGGCCTGTACTAGCATGGTAGATGCTTTGTACATTGTAAAGCAGAAGTTAATTTTTTATTTGGATTACCTTATTATTAACTTTCCAATTAGGAAATGAAAAAGAACAGGTAAGGGCGCTGAGAATAAAATGTGGAAGTGCTGTAGATTAAAATGCAGTAAGAGCTGTTAATCCACTAGGAATAAATCCACCACCACAGGATAGTGTTCTGAAGCAGAATGCAGATTTTGTTCAAGCCAGGTGAAGTGCAATTTCCAAATTCAGTCTTCTTGTATGTCTGGTTATTACTCATTTTGTTTCGTCTGCATCTGGGTGACTGCTCAGTACCTGAGAGTGTTGTCCAAACACTTCTTGAACTCTGTCAGGCTTGGTGCTGTGACCACTGCCCTGGGGAGCCTGTTCTCGTGCCCAACGACCCTCTGGGTGAAGAACCTTTTGTAATATCCAGCATAAACTTCCTCTGACAGAGCTTCATGCCATTCTTTTGGGTCCTGTCACTGGTCACCATGGAGAAGAGATCCTGCCTCTCCACTTCCCCTCCTTAGGAAGTTGTAGGCTGCAATGAGGTATTTCCTCAGTCTCCTCCAAGCTGAACAGACCAAGTACCCTCAAGACCCTTCACCATCTTCATTGCCCTCCTTTGGACACACTCTAACAGCTTAATATCTTTCCTATATTGAAGTGCCGGAACTGCATACAATATTCAAGGTGAAGAAGCTACACCAGTGCAGAGCAGAGCTGGACAATCCCTTCCCTTGACTGGCTGTCGATGCTTTGCCTGATGCTCCCCAGGACAGGATTGGCCCTCCTGGCTGCCAGGGCACTGCTGACTCATATTCAACTTTCTGTTGACCAGGATCTCCAGTTCTGTTTCTGTGGCACTGCTTTCCAACCCCTCTTTCCCCAGTCTGTACAAACATCCAGTGTTGCCCCATCTCAGGTGCAGAATCCAGCATTTTCCCTTGTTGAACTTCATATGGTTGGTGATTGCCCAGCCCTCTAATTTGTTGAGGTCTCTCTGCAGGGCCTCCCTACCTTTGGGGGAGTCAAGAGCTCCTCCCAATTTAGAGTCATCATCAAACTTACTTAGTGTACCTTTGAGTCCTGCATCCAAGTAATTTATGAAGCTGTTGAAGAGAACTGGACCTAAGATGGAGCCCTGTGGAACCCCACTAGTGACAGGTCACCAGTCATGTTACCCCGTTTACTCTTTGTGAATTTACCCCATAACTCTTTGTGCCTGACCCATGAGCCAGTTGCTCAACCATCTGTGCTGGTTTAAAAGTTAACCAGCAAGGCAAAATGAACTCAATTCAAAAGAGAGATTTATAAGTCAGAATAACAATTTATTAAAATAATGCAATAAGTACAAGTATACAGACAGACAATTGGTTTTAACCCACAAAACCCAAATGTATAACCCAGCACCCTGGGGTATGAACAAAAGTGGTGTACCTTGGCCCACCCCCCGAGTCCAAAGCAAAGGGAGAGGGGATAAAACCTGCTGGTGGGAGAGCTGCTGCAGTCTGGTCAGAAGTGGTGATTGCAGTCCAGTCGAGGGTGGTGGTCTCAGCCTGGTTGGGAGCAGCGGTGGTCTGCTGTCTTCCTCTGGGTCCCACGAGAGAGAGAGAGCCCCAAGGCTCTGAAACTCCCAGTTATATACTCTCCAGTTCAGGCGGGAGTGCTCAGTCCCTCCCTCAGAGTAGGGAATTCCATAAAAGGGCATGTGGATGCTCAGTCCCTCTTATCAGAGCGGGGAATTCCATATAAGGATATCAGAGCGGGGAATTCCATAAAAGGGTACAGGAACATCTTCCCACCTTGCAGGCCTCTACTGACAGCAGTTTTTGGGAAATGGCATGGAGGCTATAGAATACACAGTTTTGGGTTACACCCATCCAGGGATGAATTGGTCCCAGCCGTTCTAACCAGGACACCATCACATGCTGTGTTTATCCAGCTGTGTGCTGGACGTTTTGTCCAGAAGGATACTGTAAGAGACAGTATCCAAAACTTTACTGAAATCTAAAAAGATTATAACAAGTGGCTTTCATTGATCAGCTCCATGGATAATCTTGTCATAAGGGGAAATCATATTTGACAAGCAGGAGTTTCCCCTTGTGAAGCTGTACTGACTGTGACCAATGACTGTGGTGTCTATCAGGTGTTTTTCAATAACTCCCAGAAAAATCTTCTCCATAATTTTACCGGTCACTGAAGTGAGACTAATAGACCTGTAGTTTCTAGGGTCATCCGTCTTGAAAACTGTGACGTTATCCAGCTTCCAGTCACTGGGAGTTGGTTAGAAAACACCTGAACATAGGACATAGGAAAAGCAGGATAGACAGACTAGGAACAGAATGTAAAAAAAAAAAAAAAACAACCACCAAAACCCCCCCAAAAAACAATGAACAAAAAACCCTAACAAACAAACAAATTGTTTTCTTCTGTGTTGGTTTTGTTGATTTAGGTGGGGTTTTTTATGTGTTGTTTTTCTTTCTTTGGCAGTGCAGAGGAATGTACCCATGAAGTTTTTTGCCAAATGTTTTTTCTGAAAGTCTAATTTTCTTCCGCTGCTTGTTTGGAGTTTAAAACAGCTTGTTACCAGCACTCTTTTTCCAGGTGGTTTCCACCCCCCCAGTGCAGTTAAACAGAAAAAGACGGTGTTACTCTTACTCATGTTGGCTGTAAACACTAGTCATCAATTAGATTTCTCCTGCTGTCATTTTGGCTTTTTGGTGTTTCTTTGATTTGTGCATAAATGTTATATAAATAATCGCTCTGAGTAACTTAATTGGAGATATCAGCATTTGCACGTCTCATACTAATCCATGCACACATAGCTGCTTTGTAGTTCTGTATATTGCAGCAGTCTGTTCTGAATTTAACAAACTAGCTTGTTTGCATGAAGACATCTTAATAAAGATTGTAAAGAAAGTACTAAAAGCACAGACAAGGTAAAAGTACAGATGGTGTTTCTAGGAATCACTGAATTACAGTCCTTGTAGTGTCTGTTCCTTCTAATGGTTGTTTTTCCTGCTGTAGAACTTAACTAAACAACCACTTCCGGGATCCACAGAAAATGATGGAAGTGAACCAGCCTCCCCACAGGTATGTGAAGGATATGGGGGGTTTGTTTCTTCCTTCCCTGCTGTGTTGTCTTTGTGTTACTTTGGCTTAAGTGCCCAGTATGTATCTTCATGCTGGAGTAGGGATGATAAGTCCTTGCCTGTCAGGATACTAGGGTATTTTATGTGTAATCCCATTAGCTGGTATTAAGTGTTGTCACTGATGTGCGGAGGTTTGATTGTTTTTTTTTTTGTAAGGGTAGGTTAGCAGACTGCCTGCATTGAGATGTATCTTGTTGCACAGCCATCATGGGATATAGAGCATTAACCTCGCTTTCAAGAGTACAGGGCATATTACATGGCTGGAAAGCTAATTTCTACCTGAAGGAAAAGAACTGACACGCTTAAAAGTATTGTCATTAGTGTAAAAGTGTAAGTCATTTGTCTTGGGGAAAACTTTAGCTTGATGAAATTGAGTTAGCCGTGGCTCCTGGCACATGCATCCCAACATTTGATTGTAGGGGCAACATTGTGCAATAATGCTTTCGAATCACTTCTGTAGCACCAGCAGTATATAGTACCATAGCACAGAATCTTTTGGTCTAGAACAGTGTAAGTACTATAGCTGCATAAATCAATAATTTCATTTTATGTAAAAATCAGAAAGCCTTTTAAAATAAAATAATAAAAGGAATTTTCTGGATGGCATGCTAGAACTAACTGTCATACAATAAGTTTTACAGTAAATTTGTTCATGATAGAGAATAGTAAATGTAACTATTTATATTAGTTACATATTCTTCACTCTTTAAAGGGATTACACAGAAATACATTCTTTTCAAAGTTTAAATCAGGGCTGTAGTTTATTGGATTTAATTGCTATCCAAAATTGCCCACGTCTTTTGGTGTCATGCATGTGTTAGGCACCAGTCATTCCGTTGCTCAGATCCGGTCTCTCTTTCCTGGGTTTTAGTGTGTCTGTCTACCTAAAAGCAGTGCAAAAGTAATGACTTGCTTTGAATTTTTGCAGCAAAGTGACACTCAGTCTTTCACCCAGAGGCTTCAGCTCCGAGTTTCCTCCATGGAATCTTTGTTTCGAAGCCCAGTAAAAGAGACCCTATTCCGCTCTTCTTCTAAGGAGTCTCTAGTACGAAGTTCTTCAAGAGATTCGCTGAATCGACTGGACTTGGATGCCCTCAGTCTCACATTTGACTCACCTTCTGACATTGAAAGTGAAACAGAAGAGCCTCCTGGAAATATGGACAGCCTCAGCAAAGAACAGTTGCTGCAGCGACTGCGCAGAATGGAGCGCAGTTTGGGCAACTATAGGGGAAAATACTCAGAGGTAGGCAATGTAGTGACTGGTTTAGCTGGGCAGAGAGGGGAAAAAGATGAGGCTTACAGAGATTGCAGTAGTGCATAATCTTTTTGTTTTCCTGTTTGCAGCAAATGGTTCAACTTAAAAACCTAACATGGCAATTAAATTATAATTCAGATTGACCTCTGGAGGGATCAAATGTTTTTCCAGTAATAAAACATAGAAATCCTTCTCTTGTTTATAAATAATTTCCTCATGTCAGCAGTAGAGGTTAATTAGTGGTTACTCACAGAAAGTAGGCCTATTAAGGTTTCAGCGGAAAGCCTGTAGCAGGGGGTGGAGTTCAAGACAGAGCTGAGCATGCTTTGTATTCACATGACAGAAAATTTACTTTTGTTCTGAAACTTTTTCTTGAAATTCATAATGTATATTCTATGCATGTGCAATAGATAAGCATTTTGTTTTAAAGAAATAAGTTCTATTCTCCATAATTTCCAGATATTCCCTGTAAGGAATTAATTCAAGGACCATTTCTTTTGCTATTTTAGTGAACACCAATGATATAAATAGTTTTTCTTCTCATTTCCCAAATTATTGGGAAAGTAAAGCTGTCTGGGATTGGGGGTTTTTTGTTTGTGTTGGCTTTTTTTGTTTGTTGTTTTTTGAAGTGTGTGTTGTATTTAAAACTGGATGTTTGCACTGGTTTTTTACATTTTTTTTAATGTTTGCTGCCCTCAAATACAAAAATTGCTGTGCAGACTTTTGTCTACTAATGTCAAAATCCCCAGAATCTAAAATATGTATACAGCAATTGCAGTATTCAGCATATGCCTGAAAAAACAGTTGTCTCCCATTAATTTTTGGTTCTCTTCCAGCTAGTATAGTAGGTATTTTTTTAAAGTTTATGTAAAAAACTATTGCTAAAGTGAAAATTCTTCAATTTGTGGGTTTGTTTTGGTGTTTGGGATTTTGTTTTTTTGGTTTTTTTTTTCTATTAGTGTAGTCTGTTTAGCAAATGTTAATTTTCTGTATCAAAAAGGCTTGGTGATTTTTTCTGTTTCTTTAGTTCAATTGGAAAGAATTGCTTTGCTGGAGCTTGGAAGACAGTAGTTTCAATATATAATGAGTAATTAAAATATAAATATTTTTTCTCTCTTAAAGTAGGATACAGAGTTAGCATCTCAAAAATATGGTAAGGGAAACTATCCGTAGCAGTTTTTGTTTTCTTTATAAGTGCAAAATAAATATGACTTTGAAATTAAAAGTAATTTTGAATTTTGAAAAAATCTTATTTTATATAAGAATTTGAATTTATTTTGACCTATTGATTTCTGGTTTGGGTGTTTTGGACGTGTTTTCCTTTAGTTTTTCATCAGTTTGAAAACAGAATATTCTAGTTCCAAGTGCCATTATGCTACTTCAGCTTTGGCAGTTGTAATTAAATTTTGAATTAAACTAAATTGTGCAGTTTCTTGTTAAATCCTTTGTCAGCTTACAATGAGAAATATTATTCACTTTCAATCTGTCTGTATGCTGGGTATATGCAAAGCACATGGGATGAGAACATTACACAGACCCTTTTTTGCAAAATTTGTAAATGTATTTTTTAATGCATACTCTTTGTAAAATTACTTTTACTTAAGCTCCCTGGGACATGCACTCTTACAAATGGACATCCCTGTGGGGTAGCTGTCTGGGATGTAACTTTCTGATACTGTTAGGTTTTGATCCCCTGTATTGAAGCATGGTATGTCTTCTCAGCAGAGGGAAAACTGTGCATGAATGCTGAGTAATGTCACTGTTTTGTGATGTAGACTTTTTCTTTAACACATCGGAGATATTTTATAGATAGAAAAAGGAAACACTGAGAAAATTTAAGTATACTTCTGTCAACAGTGTTCTCAAGTGAAGTGAAGAGTTTCAAAATGCACACAGTGATACAACTAAGGAAATTATTTCAGTAGCTATTAATGAATGCATTATCATCATTATACCCGATTTCTGTATTTTAGCTAGTGTCTGCTTATCAAGTTATCCAGCGGGAAAAGAAGAAGCTACAGGTAAGAATTACTTTTCATCCTCTCTTACCTGAATGCTTTTTGAATCTTAAAATGTGTAGTGCAAATACAGATTTAATTTTCAGTGCATTGTGTGTGTACGTATAACAAAAGACTCAATTGTCTAGGATTTCTAAGGAAACCAAGTTAATACTGATTTATCAAAATAATTGTGAAGCTATTGTACTCCAGTCTTTTTATTTTTGCATCAGCTGTGTCGACCCACAGTTCGCAATTTATGATAATACTTACACATCAAGCATGACTTGAAAGAGAAATACAAATCATGACATCTTCTGCTGAAGTACAATTCCGTGAATTTATTTATATATCTATATGTTTTATAAGTTACATTTAATACACCTGATCTTTATTCTCCCTTTTTCTTAAGAGCATTCTGAGTCAAAGTCAGGATAAAGCACTTCGCAGAATTGGAGAACTGAGAGAGGTAGGAATTTCCTTTACTGATTGCATGTTTACTTTATAGCACACCTACATAGGATCTTTTTCTGCCTAGCTTTTGATTTTTTTGTTCACTTTACAAAATATTTCCTATTATAGAGCACTTTTTTTACTGCTTACTTTCTTTTTTTCATATGGGTTTACTCCTCTGGCTTGTTTTCCATTCATCAGCTTGGTACTGTACTCTTAAGACAGAGCAGTGCATCATACCAACTAAACTCTACTTTTTTGTTCATTGTGAAATATGTAGAAGTGCATGTGGTTCTTGCAGTGTTGTTGGGCCCAGCCATAGCTGTGTAATTTGTTGCTCTTCTATTATTGACAAATTCTAATGTTAGGTAAATACAAGTAGTAGGCACATTTTAATAAAAATGTCAGTGACTATAAAAAAATGGGGATAAAATTTTAAAAAATATTCATCTTTATCTCATTTATAATATTTATATATTTTTTTTATTTTAGTATAGTTTGATTTCAGTCATAAAATCAGGTAGGTTATGTTACTGTCTCTTTAGGTTATAGTGAAATTAAAAGGAGAAGCTCTAATATATTTGGTATTGATAATAAACACGTTGGACTTATTTAAAAAAATGTACAGATGATCAGGCGGGACAAATTAAAAGGGCAAGTTCACAAAAGCCATGTTGTGAGACCCTGGTGAAGCGCAATGGGAAACTGAAACCATTTTATTGCTGCAAGAGCAAGTGCAGCATCAGGTTTGAAGATGGGCATGGACTTCTCTGTCCACACTCTTACCTTGCTGGAGAGCTGGGTACCAGTTAGCCCAAAGCCACAGGCTTTGTCTGTGAGTGCAATCCTGCTCTTGACCTGTGCCATGCTGAGCAGCAGCACTGGCCTGGAAGTTACAGGAGCCATTAGACTGTGGTGAGGTCTCACCTTTGCCTGAAGGCAGACTCACTCCAGGCAGTTGGGTGTCTTGCCCCCAGACAGGGACCAGGACTTGTTCCCTTGGGGTGAGGGATGGTGACTGTGAGCATCTGACTGTGTATGTACTCGTGCCTCATGCTCACCCACAGGGAACTGTCCCTGTGTAACTGGTCAGGCAGCCAGTCATTTCAAAGGAGGTCACTGGCAAATTGTCAGGCAGTCTTCAGCAATGCCGTGAGTAATTCAGGTAAGCAGGCTTTGAACTGTGTGTGCCACCAGGGTGGCATTTTGATTCAGATCTATGCTGCTTCTGCCTCAGCAGCTGAGAACAGTGGGCCAGAGTGCTGAGTGTGGTGTGCTCGTCTGAGCTGGAGCCTGTGCCTGGGCTGTTACCATGTCTTAAGCTTAACTGTCAGCCCATAGGAGGGAAAAAAACACAGCATTACTGACAGAAGTGGCTTGCTAATGTTGTTTCTTTTCCAGATCGCTACAAGGTCAAATGAAAGAAGCTCATTCTATGTTAAGTCCATATCCGTGTGCTTCTGTAGGATTAGTTTTTCAGCTTAATGCTACTTGATAAAGTCAGGAAGGCAGATGTATACCAGAGTTAAACCTTTTGTTTATGACAAAAGGTTGGACATGTGCATTTTTATTTTTCACTTCTGTCATAGTCTTTGTGATTCATATATATAGATAAGTTATACATATATTTCTGATTTATATATATACATTTATATATATATATTTGGTGTAACATTTAATATCACTCTTACAAATCTGGTAGATTTAAAGAGTCTTTCAAATCAAATGCTGAGATTCTTTTTCATTAATTGATAAACTTCAAAATGTGTTTTTCTAGTCTTTTGGAAACTTAAGTGTTGCAGTATTAGGTAAATCAGACACAAAAGAAAAATTACAAATAAAATGGTTAGTTTCCATTGTGAAAGCCAAAATGGTAAAAAGTAGTTCATTCATTGATGTAATAATTGATAACCAGCAATTAATTTTAAAAATCCTTTTCTTCATCATACAGTCTAATTTCCCTATAAATATGTTGAATCAGACAAGTTTCTTATAAGAGGGCCAGGTAAGAATAAATTATCTCCTTTGAGGCCAAGTTGACAGTGTGAAATAGTCCCTAGACATCAGTGTGTCTTTTGCTTACCTTAGTTTTCTCCTGTTAGGAGTAATTTCTCAAAAACGGTCTTCAAGCAGTCTTCAGTGTTCTCCTTTTCAGAAAAGGATCAGAAGCAACTTTGGGATCTAAAAAGGGCCATTTCTATGTTGGTTTCAGTAAATCTCTTTGGCACTTTTTCTCACACTGACCTGCTTTGCTTCATTTGGAAGGAATCGCTTCTAAAGGTCAGAAGCACAAGGCAGAAGTGTGATTAGTAGTTGCTGAGAACCTGAGGCAATGCAACGTTAAGAAGTGGATATGGTGGATATAGGAAGAGAGGAGTTTTTGCAGTGACACCTTCCATCACTGTCCTGCCTGTGCATGACTGGGCAGGCTCAGCTAACATAGCTGTGGTTCTCAGAGCTGGTATCAGGGTCAGCTGTGGCAGGGGACTCTCTTGGAGGTAAGGGATAGACAGCAAGAGTAAAAGCAAGATTTAGAATTGGAGGAAAGCAGCATAGGGCATTTGGTGCCCTATGTTTTGTCTTGTTTGCTTTTTCATCCTTTCTTTCTGTTATCCTCTGTCCTTGCCTGGCTAATGGAACTCCAATTTATGGGTGGGGATTCCTCATATGCAAGTGATCTTTGCAGAATAACGGTCATAGAAGGATTCTTTTCCTGGGGTAAATCATTGGGAAGATATGTATGGATGAAGTAAATATATAAATAAAAAAAATTAAAATACAAGTTTCAGAAAGTATTTACAGTGCATGCATGAAATATGTGTGGTCCTGGTTCTCTCAACAAGCAGTTAGATGTGAATTAATTTAAGTGCATTTCTTTACTATTACAGTGATAATTATTGAAAGAAATTTTAATATTTAAACTTTAAAAGTATAGGAATTAAATAGAAGAGACCTCCCTCAGGAAGTATGTTTTAAGACTATGTAGATCCTACTAATGCATTTAGGTAACATTTACAAGTTTCTAAGGGTGTTCAGCCAAATAATTGCACATAAGTATCAAGTGAAGCCACATAGTTAAATTATTTGGCATTCTCTGTTTTGTCATTGGAGACACATTTGTGGAATAAAAAGGCCAACTTTTTTCTCTTACATATGGCACTTGTCCTATTAGAATGCTGGCATGTTTAATGAGCATAATGAATTTTGCCTTTCTGCTGTTTATGTTGGCTTAATCTGGTGGCTAAATGAAGAATATACTGAAGTGCAGACTTCAGCTTCCAGGAGAAATGTGTACATGGAAAACAGTTTTTCAGGAGCAGGCTTGCAATGATCCCTATACAAACTTACTTCTAGGAAGAAAGAAAGAATCCTTGATAATTTTGCATCAAATCTGGACTCTTGCTGTTTTAATGCTGGTGTTATAATGGGATGTTCTTATTATACTCTCTGGAATGTTGTATAATAAAAGAAATGTCCGCTGTATGGTTGTATTTTGGGGTCACAACTATGAAGAGATATTTTAAATATTATTTCATAATATTTTGATCAGTCTTTGAATTCACATTTCAGTTTTCATTTGAGATGTGTTTATTCACAGGAGCTCCAGATGGATCAACAAGCAAAGAAACATCTTCAAGAGGAATTTGATGCTTCCTTAGAAGAAAAGGATCAACTTATTAGTGTGCTGCAAACTCAGGTAAGATACTTGACCCAACAGGTGTTCTTCAGAAGTGCTTTTTTTACTTTTTCATTTTAGCTATCTATTTCCTATAATGCATATCCATGTTTTGTTATAATTGCTGTGAAGCTGTAAAGCTTCTTGAGAATTTATGATTATCTAGAAATTAGGTGCATCTTCGTGGTAGAGGATACCTCTGCAAAAGTCTCACTCATGTTAAATATGATTGATTTGCACTTAAATACCTTCATAATATCTTTGTTATCAAGACATCAACATTAACAGATGTCTGAGCTAAAATTACTTTGGCAAAATTTATGTGTTTCGCTTAATTGGTCTTTGTTTCTCTACTCATAATGATAGTATTTTTGTTAATTTTAAGCATAATTCTGATTTTAAAAAATTGGTAAATTCAGACAGATTTTTCCATTTTCTACTTGCTAATACCAACTTTATTTAATTCTCTCTAGTTTTGAAGATTGACACATGATCTGTTTAGAATCATTGGGTTTTTTTAACAAAAAGAACATTTTGTTTAGGTGTCGTTGCTGAAACAAAGGTTACAGAATGGTCAAATAGGCACTGAATTGCTTGATCAAAATATGCAATCAGAACCACAAGTTCAAAGTCCAGCAGAAGAAGTCAGTGCAGAAAATATTGTGGAACCAGGAAGCAATGGTATGTATTGCGGCTTTTTCAAGAGCTTGAATTTTGAGGAATAAACTTGCTGTTGTTTATGATGGAGTAACAGTACATGTCATAGTAGGGATATATTTCCTAGAAGGAGACAATTGTTTTGAAAACAATGTGGCAGCTAGAGGACAGGATATCTTAGTATCTAAGATACTAAATTTTCGTAAGAATTCAATTCTGATAGATCTTTCCTTTGTCAGTATTGATAATAACATTCTAATTACTGCTTTGTTGGTAGGTGTTCTTACTACCCCCACTTAATATGATTAAGAGATTCTACCTCCCATAAGCAAGGACCTATCCCTGGAGTTTAGAGAGGAGACTAGTTGCTAATCTCTGTCTTTTGTTTGTGAGTTTGTGGTTTTTTTTTCCGTTGGCTTTATCAGTCGAAAGTAAAAGCAAAGATCAATTTTGATATTCCTGTTATTAAGTAAGCTAAGTGTTCCCCACACTGGGAGGTTATTTGAATTAATGGGACTCCCAGTATTGTGTATATTTAATTACTGAGCAGGGGACATCATAATGCTGATACAGAATAAAAGTGTCATTCATTGGTAGCCTTCATAAAAGGGTGGGGTTCAGACAGAGGTGAATATGTATCTTGAAATGATATTTGTTAAGCTGTGTTCAGCAAAAATCTACTATGATTTTTGTATGTACAGATAATATGAAAGGGTAGATGCTCTTCCTTAGTGCCATGATTTTTGTCATCATCATCATCATCACAGCTAGGCTTCATGAACGAAGATTTGGGAAGGACTCTACCCACACTTGCTACAAGCGTGCTGGTGGCTAAAAAGGCCAATGCGAGATAGACAAGTCCGGTTGCAAAAGGCACAGCAGAAAGACTCCTTAGGTGGTATTGGCAAGACACGATTCTTTCTGCGTTGTCTTTTCTCCTCGAGAGTGATCCCGTGTGCTTTCTCAAAAGAAGCAGCAGCGTTATAGATATTGTGTCTCCAGACCTCCCGATTGGAGGCCAGAGTAGACCAATGATGATGATCAATATGGCAGAGACTGAGATGATATTTCAGGGAGTCCTTGTATCTCCTCTTTGGGGCTCCTCTCTTGCAGCAGCCGGTGGCAAGTTCAGCATAGAGCACGATCTTAGGGAGGCGATAGTTCTTCATCCTTGAGGCATGTCTTGCCCAACGCATCTGTGTTCTCAACAACATGGCCTCAATACTTGTAACTGCTACCTGTTCTAGAACAGACGTATTAGTCACATAATCTGACCAGTGGATGTTAAGGATTGTACAGAGGCAGCATTGATGGAAGCGTTCTAAGAATCGCAGGTGGTGGCGGTAAATGACCCATGATTCGGAACCATATAAAAGAGTAGACAGCACAATGGCTCTGTAAACACTGATCTTTGTACTTTTCTTCAAGTGTTTATTCCACCAAACTCTTTTTATGGAGTTTTCCGAAAGCTCTATATGCCTTTGCTAACCTGTTGTCTGTCTCTCTGTCAATTTTACCATCCGAGGAGATGATTCTACCTAGGTAATTAAACTGCTGGACTGATTTGAGCTCTGATTTGCCAATGATGATATGGGGATGATGACCTCACTTCCTGAGGTGCAGGTTGATAGAAAACTTCAGTCTTCTTCAGGCTGACTTCCAGTCCAAAAAGCTCAGCAGCCTCTGCAAAGCAGGATGTTAAGTGCTGCAGAGCTACTTCTATGTGGGCGATGAGGGCATCGTCATCAGCGTAAAGCAGCTCCCGGACAAGATGGTTTCAGGTATTAGTATGGGCCTTCAGTCACCTTAGGTTGAATAGGCTTCCATCAGTACAATATCGAATGCAGATACCATCTTCTTTATCGAGGTCTACCATGGCCCTTTGGAGCATCAAACTGAAAAAGATTGTGAATAGGGTAGGAGCGAGAACGCAGCCTTGTTTCACACCATTAACCAATTAGAAAGGGCTCAGAAAGTGCATCACCATATCTGACTTGGCCGCGCTGATCCTCATGGAGTGAGATGATCATTTTGAGGAACTTGGGGGGACATCCTAAACATTCCAAAATCTGCCATAGATCTTTGCTGCTCACAGTATCGAAAGCTTTGGTGAGATCAAGAAAGGTTACATAGAGACCTTTGTTCTGTTCCCTACACTTCTCTTGCAGTTGTCTGAGAACAAATACCATGTCTGTGGTACTCCTGTTGGCTCTGAAACCACACTGGCTTTCAGATAGAAGTTCTTCTGCTATAGCAGAAGTGTTCAAAAGTATTCTTGCCAGGATTTTACCAGCAATGGAGAGCAGAGTAATACCCCGGTAATTTGAACAGTCTGATTTATCTCCTTTCTTCTTATACAAGGTGATGATGACTGCATCACGAAGGTCTGATGGTAGTTCGCCTAGTTCCCAACAGCGCACCACAAACTCGTGAAATTTAGCATGAAGTGCTTGGCCTCCATGCTTCCAGACTTCAGGTGGAATTCCATCAGCCCCAGCTGCCTTGCCAGTTTTTACCTGCTGTATGGCCTTAAGAGTTTCTCCCATAGTAGGGGCAATATCCAATTCATTCTTCACTGGTTGTTGTGTGATGGACTGAATTGCTGAGTCTTGGACTACACGGTTGGTACTGAAAAGAGTCTGAAAGTGTTCAGACCATCGATTCAGAATGGAGATTTTTATCTGTGAGAAGCATTTGCCCATCTGCACTGAGTAGAGGGCTTTGGACCTGGTATGTAGGCCCGTATGCTGTTTTCAAGGCCTCATAGAATCCTCTGTAATCACCCATATCTGCGCATAATTGAATTTTTTCTGCTAGATTGATCCATTGTTCTAGATGTCACAAAGTTTCTGTTGGAGCTTGCTTCATGCAAGATGAAAGACTGCTTTTCTTACATGACTAGAGTGCTTAGTAAATAATGTAACAATCAGGATTCAGGATGTTTCCTGTGCTGGAGTTTGCTTCTGGATTATAGTGTGTAAGACTTATGGTTGTGAACAGAACCTCTGAATTTGTCTGATCTTATTTTCATGCCAAGTAGTCTTGCAGCCTCCAGAGCATCAGAGCAGAAATACACAGTAAAATATTATGCAAATGTTCTAGTTATACAGAGAGATTCAAATTGAAAGAGAGTAGGTTTAGATTATATATTAGGAAAAAACTCTTTATTGTGAGGGTGATGGGCACTGGAACAGGTTACCCAGAGAAGTTGTGGATTCCCTGTCCTTGGAAGTGTTCAAGGCCACCCTGGATGGAACTCTGAGCAACCTGGTCTGGTGTAAGGTGTCCCTGCCCATGGTAGGGGGGTTGGAACTAGATGCTCTTTCAGGTCCCTTCCAACCCAAACCATTCTGTGATTCTACAAGTACAGCTCAGAAAGACACTAAGCATAACCTTTATCCTGCCAAATGTAGTATTGCCAACCTGGATATTTTAGAACTAACATCATACCCAGCCCTGAGGAAGGAAGAATCTGTGTGCTCGGCACTTGAGAGATGTGATTTGCTTTGCTTCATATTTTTTACTGCATGTACAGATTCTGTTAGTAGCAGCAGGCAGGTTTATAAATTATGATGACTTTTTAATTGCATGAAAAAACTTTTTGACTAATAATTTGGTTTTGAAGTTGATAAAGTAACTTGGGTTTTGTAAATTAATATGGTGTGAAAGAGTGTATTTACTGTTCTGTGTATGTGTAGCATGTTTCTGACAGTTATAGTAGGAACTAGGAAGTCTTGCAGACTTGACTCAACTTTCTTTAGAGACCCATGAGTCACCCTCATTGTGAATGACGAATCATGGAATCACAGTATATTCTGAGTTGGAAGGGACCCACAAGGATCATCAAGTCCAACTCTTAAGTGAATGGCCCATTGTGCTGGTTTAAAAGTTAACCAGCAGGGGAAATGAACTCAACTCAAAAGAGAGATTGTAAGTCAGAATAACAATTTAATAAAATAATACAATAAGTACAATTATACAGACAAACAATTGGTTTTAACCCACAAAACCCAAATGTATAACCCAGCACCCTGGGGCATGAACAAAGTGGTGTTTCTTGGGCCCCCCACTGAGTCCAAAGTGAAGGGAGAGGGGGAAAACCTGCTGGTGGGAGAGCTGTTGCGGTCTGGTCAAAAGTGGTGATTGCAGTCCAGTTGAGGGTGGTGGTCTCAGTCTGGTTCAGGGTGATGAGCTGCAGTCTGGTTGAGAGCGGTGAGCTGCAGTCTTCTTCTGGATCCCACGAATGGTAAAAAGGTTCCAAAACTCCAAGTTTATATATTCTCCAGTTCAGGCAGGAATGCTCAGTCCTTCCCTCAGGGCGGGGAATTCCACAAAAGGGCATGAGGACAGGAACATCTTCCCATCTCGCAGGCCTCTTAACACCTAGTTTATAGCCTGAGGAGTCAGGCTGCTCTGGGCAGAGGGTGTAAATGCTCTATTGATAACAGTTTCTGGGAAATGGCATTGAAGGCTATAGAATACACAGGTTTGGGTTACACCCATCCAGTGATGAATTGGTCCCAGCCGTTCTAACTAGGACACCCATACAGAATGCAGATCTGCATTTTGGAAAAAGTGTGCATATGGTGATGTCGGTGTATTGTCTTGTAGAGGGTAACGAAGATTCTGTTAAAGCACTGGAAACTCTTAATCAGAGGGTGAAGCGCCAAGAGAACTTGCTGCAACGTTGTAAGGAGACGATTCGGTCACATAAGGAGCGCTGCGCCCAGTTAACCAACGAGAAAGAGGCACTTCAAGAACAGTTAGAAGAGAGGCTTCAGGAACTGGAAAAAATGAAGGTGTGGAAAATGGTCTAAACTTTATGCGTAGCTATCAAAATATAGTAAGAACTCCCAATATTTCCAAAATTTATTAATAAGGCAGACCATTAAACAAACTGTCCCTGTACTTTTTTGGAGTTTAAAATGAACCCACCTGGAATTAACATGCTGAGCAATTACTATTCAAGAGCAGTAAAGTAGGATGTGGAACCTTACTGTGTGAATAAGTATCAGAATTGCATCAGAAATAAGTAGTTGTTGGAAATTGGGGTGAGGGGAAGACTGGCTTAGCACAGAAGACAGAACATAAAGTGGGAAAAGTGGAACTGAGCTAAACCTTTAAGACATAGTGAAAGAGGCATCAGTTATGTAAATTAACAGAAAAAACAGAAAGGCAGGACGATGGAGATCACTATATAGTGAGCATAAGTGCAGTCCCAAAGCTAATAAATTAATATTTTGCTCAGTTTTCCTTTTAAGGTCATTTATGTTTAGTATGGAGTAAAAGTAAGGTGGCTGATAGTAATTGAAACATGAAAATGTGCTAAGTATAGCTGTATTCAACTTTAGTTACGGAGATCAGATTTCTGTCTCTGTCTCTGAGCACTAGCCTGGTTTGAAAAAGCTCTGAAAGACTTGAGTATTTGAGGACCTTTTCCACAGCAAGACCAGTAATGATCATTTGTTGCATTGCTGAGATCCTCTTGTAAGCCAAGATGCAGATAATAGGGCAGGTGCTTTAGGCATGTTTCTTGTTTTACTGTAGCAGCTCAGACCTCCATGTTTGAAGGCTGTAACAAAGCCTTCAGGAATCTGAATTATTATAGAAGCCATGAGGCAGCTACCACTGGGAGATTTAAAAGTAATTTAAAGCTGCTTACTTCAATTTCCCTGGATTGTGTTCTGTGTTCTTCCTCCAAGACATAGTGCAAGGTAAGAGCCAAATCTAAGCTGTTTGTCAACCAACTTCTGGTTGGGGTCTTTTTTTTAGGACCTTCACATGGCTGAGAAGACTAAACTCATTACACAGCTGCGTGATGCAAAGAATTTGATTGAACAGCTAGAGCAAGACAAGGTAAACAAAACTGTAGATTTTGAGGAAGAAAACACAAAATATCTTGCTTCTTGGTATTAGAAGCTGTTCTTAGTGATCTGATGGTCTGGTTTATGTTTTAATAAATAATTTAAGCTACCTGAGAATTTTATTGTATATATACCACAGGGTATTTTATCTGTTGGGTTATACTTAACACTGCAAGATGATAATATTTAGGATGAAGAAATTATACTGGATACACTCCTTGATGTCAGCTTTAAAATGAACCAAAAAAACCCCCAAACACAAATAAAGATGAGATACAATTAAATGAATTAGAAAATGACAGTGAAGGAAGAGTAACTGTAGTTTCTACAGAAAATGAAGATTTTATAGTTTTTTTACTCCTTAAAAGTTTTTTTTTAATCACAGTCTTGGTACTTGGAATAACTTCTGGTGGTGTAATAATTGATGGGACTAACATTGTACGTGCATGTTCTCCAAGGAGAAGCACAGACTCTACAACGCTTTTATTTTGGGTTTGTTTACAGAATGCATATTTCAAAGAAAAGTGTCTGTATCAGAAGGAGGAAGTTTTTGGATGGTACTTGGTTGCTAGAGTTCTTCTCACCACTAGATAAATTTTGGATACTCTTAAAAATAATCCCTATTCTTATTTCTTTTTGGTTAGCATTTTGTGTTTTCTGATATAGAGAAATACCATGATCTTTGGTCTTGTAGTAATAGACTACAGTTTATTCCTGACAAGGATTGTGTCCTGGCTTGAAATTGTTTCAGCTATATGTTTTATTTATTTGCTAGCTTTTTATCACAAGGACCTTTTCCATAGGGTATGGTAATTGCAGAGACAAAGCGACAAATGCATGAAACATTGGAAATGAAGGAGGAGGAGGTAGCCCAACTGCGTGCTCGGATCAAACAGATAACTACAAAAGGCGAGGAATTAAAAGAACAGAAAGAAAAATCTGAAAGAGCTGGTAAGAAATTCTTGAGATCATTAGTTTTCACATTTAAACATTAGAAAGCTTCAGTGTGGTCTTTTACACTCTTTTGTCAGTTGTTGTTTGGAATGGATATTAAGAGCTGCTCTTTTTCCTGATGTTCCACATATCACCCCTGCTAGCATCATTACTAACTTCACTTCTGGTCAGCAGGATGTTTTTGACTGGTTTGTGTCAGTTACCAATAAACTGGAGATTGGAGGGAAACTGCTGAAGGGCAACTGTACTTCTCTGTTTATAGGAAAAAAGATTGATAGTTTTTTGCTGGTATTACTTCAGAAGAGGAACCTGCAGCTACCTATAAATGGTCATATAATGCCACCAGTATTTTACATAGAAGACATAACAGTGTATAAGAGTTTGTGAAGAAGTAGAAATAAGTGTTACAACTATATTAAGCATTTTCTTTCAATAATTCTAATGGAAGCATTTCTGATTTCTCTTTAGTGAAACAGCAGTAAGGTTCCTTTTGCTTCAGGCTTGGAACATAGCATTTATGTAGTTTACATGCTGTAGTTTGCTTTGGATGAAAATTAGGTAACATTATTTATGTGTGCTTGCAGTTCTTCTTTTGCTTCAAGTGAAGTTAAACCTTTGTTTTTTAAGCAGTGGAATTGTTTTGTACTGTAATCAAGTTCTTTTAGAATAATTTAGTTTGCTCTCATATGCATGTAAAGGAGCTCACTCTTTTGGCAGAAGCTCGAGTGTTAGTTTGGATAAAATATTATATGTATTTTTCTCTAAAAAGCAATGAGAAGTTCAAACAATACAGTTTCTAGTGGTGTATTTTATATGTACATAGATTTAGATCAGAACTTGCAGTTTTAAAGATTAGTTTGGGTAGATCATTCTGCTGTAATAAAAGCAGCTTGAACATCCATCTTGTGAAAGTAACAAACATTTTGATCATTTCCTCTCCTACTCTTTTAGGTTGTGTGTCTTTTTAGGTCTGGAAATTCATACTTCAAAGTCAGTCAGTCCTACTAAAGTTGTATTTGTTTAGTACTTGGAGACTGGGAAGCTACTCTTCATGATTAAAAAGAGAAGCTGAAAAATCTTTTAACACTTCTGTAGATATGAAGTTATTGTCATAGTTGTTTGAAATACAGCATTTTTTGAGGCAGTAGAAACCTCTTAATTATGAAGGAATATCTACATGCTCTGCTTAATACAATAGCTTCTTCAGGTTTGCCTAGCCAGAAACTGAAATTGGGTTAGATATGATGCTGTGGATACCTGGAAACCTGACCTATTTTAATGAGAAGTAATTTCATTTAAATGAATAATGTGTTGAGTACACTACACTTTTCTAGGGTGAGATTTGTATGTTAAATGTGCTCTTTTTTAAACAAAATTTTAAAGTACTTTTGGTAGCTTTTATGGTGCATAAGTATCAACTTTTCTTTTAAGTGCATTTATTTTTGTACTCTGTTAAGCATGCATATATGAATGTTGGAACCCTTGGAAAATCAGTTAACACTATGTCAAAGACTGAATTGTAAGGTGACCTTTACTAGATTTTTCTATTACATTCTTGGCTTAATGCATTCCAAAAATGTTGTGATGGACAACGAAAGCGTAGTTCGCTACAGTTGAACTAAATTGTTCAGGCACTTTAGAAAATCACCATGCATATTGGGACAGCCTGAAATTGCTTCTAAGTCACAACCTTTGAGTTGTACTGGTTTTGTGAATTTGGTGATTTCATGTATTTGAGGTCAACATTTAAAGTTCTGGTTTATGGCTAGTAAATCTGAGATGACTTTCATAGAATCACAAAGTGGCTAAGTTTGGAAGGGACCACAGTGAGTCATCTGGTCTGACCTCCCTGCTCAAGCAAGGGTCATCCTACAGCACTTGGCACAGAATTGCATCTGGACCATTAGATTCTAGACTTCTTTTCCTATATGATGATTTGGTGAAAAATTGATTTCCTGGAATGAAGTACAGATGTTAATTTCATTTATATTTTAGCGAAATTAGGGTTTTTAACTTGCCTAGTGTTATGTGTCTGGCATTTTTCCTTGTAATTCAGTGACCTTAGTGAATTGCTCCAGTGTTTGATTAATGTGAATGCATTTTTGTGTAATGAAATAGCTAAATGATATGTATGCTTATTTTTTGCCGTGTTTTGTAAACTTGTAACTTGGTCTCCCCAGTTGAAGATAATTTTTTTTTTAGTTAAAGGTACATTATGTTAAAATCTCACAGAGCATCTTGTTTTTTGTGCATCCACACATGCCAATAAGTGAATCATGGTGCCTTTCCCAAGCCTTGTATGAACAGGACTGGGGTAAGGGCTCTGTTTTCTTACATCACACATTGGGTGCTTGAACTGGGCTCTAAAAAGTAAATTCTGTGCTTCTCAGGCATTTCTACTTGAAGTAACTGCAACTCAATTTTTTTTCAACAAAACTCTTCTTAGTATTTGTAAATATACTGGTACTGTTTCTTCTGAGATTACCTGGCGTAAGTCCTTTCTGATTTCTCAGGATGCAGGTTATGGACTTGCTTGTATTCTGTTCAGTGAACAAAGTCTTTAGAAAGCAAATGCTATTCTTTGTAGGCAACATTTCTTTTGTAAGCTTAATTAACATATGCTTTCCACCTTTCTACAGAGAAAATAAAGCTTGGACTGTGCATTTAAATCCTGCCTAGATGCACAAATCGGCTATAGGAAATTAATTTGACCTTTGTTTCTCAAGATTTGGACAAGATATCTGAGCCCTTTGCCAGCCTGTTTAGTGCTTTCTTCACAATTTTTAGCACTAGATGGCGCTGTACTTGAAGATAAGAGGTCTGCGGCGCTGGGCAAGTAAGCGAGAAGTCTTTGGAGCACGGACTGATACTTCGCTGGGTAGGATAGGCAAGGCGAAGGGAACCGAGACTGGTACTTTGGAGTGGCGTAGGTAAAGCAGTCAATTCTCCAGCACATGTTTTATAAGAATCAGTTTTGCAACCTTGCACTCCTTAAACTCTGCTCAGGCTCATTTTTTTTTTTATTTACTTACTGCACTGGAAGGTTTCCAGTTTGGCTTGGTCATGTGAATGGGGTTTTGCAAGACTCACCTGAGACTCTGTTGGTGTGCTTGTTACTGTTTCTAATTTGCTCATATGCCTTTGTAAGACTTCATTCAACCGGTCCTTGGTTGGAAGACCTTCCCTCAACAAAACTCTGCATGTTGGAGAAGAACACTAGGCAGTGCCTTTACTCTCTGCATTCAGAATAGATGTATTTAAATAAAAACAAGGACTTTATTCCAGGTTTTTATACATGGTAGAATTAAAATCTCCCACAGATTAAAAATAACTATAATAATGGAGACAATAGTCTGTCTACTTGATTATAGTTTAGCCCTCTGCTGGTTTGAAACTTGGTTGTGTCAGGCTACACTAGAATTAACTACTTTCAATAAAAATGTTCTGTTTTGCTTAAGTGCCAGAAGTGCCTGAGATGCATATGATTCAACTTTTAGAGAGCTAAGTGTGTTTTTGTGAAGTGTTGCTTCTTTGTGCTTTCATATCCTCTTGGCTTTTTATCCATCAGCTTCTGTCTAGCTTTTGTATTAGCATCCTGCTTGTGATTATGGTGATGCAGCTGTTGTTCTGCATGTTGCTCAACAATTTCATATCAGTAGTCAATCCTAGTGTAAACCTGGACCTTCCCTTTGGCAGATTTGTGGACTATGGAAAATGCATTCTCTTTCCTTTTGCAGAAGTAACAGTTTCTCAAATGGAAAGAAAGTACATGGTGCTCAGAAAAAGAATCAGAAAATGTGCATGGAGAAGTGAAATAACTTAATCTTTTACTTGCAGGCTTTATTTTCAAGCTGTACTTTGTAAAGGTCTGTAGGGTGATTTGCCTTTTTTTTTTTTTTTAAAGACATTCATGGTGCTGTAATACTGAAGGACTTGGCCAGTTTTCCCTGGCTGTGCCTGCTTTTGTTAGGACCGAGAGGAGTGTCAGGGAAGTCAGTACCATTCTCCAAACACAGTTCTGCAGGCTGTGTTCATAATCGAGTTGTACCCAGGGTAGCAAGGAGGGAGGACTTGAGTCCTGTGAGTTGCAGGTGGCAAATGCCTTGATGAGGATTGTGAAGAACCATGTAACATAAGGAGCTATAAGCCTAGTGCATGCTTGTAATATATTTTAGATTGTTTTCCTGTTTGAAATAATTTCTAGTGCTCTTAATTTTTTGTAATAGTTTTAGTATTTAAGCAGAACCAGGAGTGAAAAAGTGGATACAATGGTGTGCTTCGGTATTGCCAGAGTCAGTAACAGCCCTGTTTTGCCCTAAAGCATGATTGTGTCTGTTTGTAGTCAGAAAAAGACTTCCTTAAAAAACAGAAGAAAATTCTGGAAAAGGTCAGAATTTGTGTGAATGCAGTTTTATGAAATTAAGTTACTTGAAAACATATTTGCAACATTGCCTCAAGAGTACAGATTTTGGTTCAAATCTTCAGTCTTAAATGTTATCAAAAGATGTGGAATGGAAATTATTATCCACTTCTCAAACTCATACCTGAATATTATTAAATATACTTTAAAAAAAGCAAGGATTGCAAGAATTGCTGTGAATGCCTGCTAAGTAACGGTGAATCAAAGAAACTAGAGATGTGCATGTCTATTACAATTTTCTTTTGGGGATAGAACTAAGTGGAAGAAAGCTTATCATAGTTAATTACACTTAAAAATTTATTTTGTTCTCTCTCCTCCCAAACTAGAATCCAAGTAGTCCATGGTATAGTAGAACAATATACTTTTAGGAGGTTGTGCTCTTATAAATTACAATCTTGATATTGGCACTGTGATTTTGAGTTTTATAGAGATGTTTTGCCAAAATTCTGTTATGCAAAGTATTAGCAATATAGTGGAGTGTTCTGACACTAATTTTTTTTTATATGCAGCAGGGGGTTTCCATATTCGTGATCCATTCAGGAAAAGAGATTTCCCTAATAGTGATCAAACTCTAGTCTTGTGTAGTTCTCTATAGCTTCTTACATCAGTTTTAGTGAGGAACTCAGATACTGGTATTGAGTAATAGTAATAAACCAGCTCATAATACAGGGATTTATTTTCTTTTTATATCTAACTTATTATTTAGGAGGTGGATAAAATATGTTAGGATACATTTCCTTAGCATGGGATGAAGATGGGGAATTATTGCTTTTGATTTGTAAATTAAAATGGATTCAGTGGATTTGTGCATCTTACACAGGTGTAAATAAATTTTATCACTGCAGCTTTAGTGTTCTTTTGAAACACAACTATTCAAGTTTTCTGAGAGCAATTTTTTTTTAATTGCATTTTATTCTTGAAGTTTAGAGGCACAGGACAGTCTTCGTAACACTCAAGCATTTTTCCAGTGTTTCTGAATTGCACTGTTAATAGTGTACATTAAATATAAGTAGTGAAAAAATGGAATTAGCAAAGCCATCTCTGTGGACTCTATGAAACCCACAGTTTAAAGAGAAGATTCTTTAGGTTTTACTGTTTATAGTTAACACCTCTTAAGTAAATAAAGTATTATGTTTGAGTGTTCTATTTAGGAAGATCTCTTCCATTATTCACTAAAAACTGACTTGTGTAGTAGTCATTCTTGGTTTATGTTTCTGTCTGCTTTACTGGAAGAACAACTTGTGAATTGCCTTTTCTTTGTGCAGTTGTTTTCCTCTTTTTCAAAGTTATTCAGCGAGTATAGGCAGAAGAGGAGCCATAGTTCATTCACTTATATGGTTTATTTATTTTATAGTGATTTTAGGGAAAGAAATAAAAGCTACGGGATGTATTAGAAGACATTCACAGCTATTAGTCTGTTCTCTTTTTTTCCTAGATAATAAACAAGTGAATTCTTGATGGATTCCTAAGTTCATTCTTCTCTTACTTATGTAATTCTTCTATCAAAGGACATAGGTATTTCTTGACTATCATACACTTCTTTTTCTTGGCAGCTTTTGAAGAGCTTGAAAAGGCTCTAAGTATTGCCCAAAAGACAGAGGAAGCCCGGAAAAAACTGCAGACAGAAATGGATGAAAAAATTAAAGCAGTAGAAAAGGCAAGTGAAGAAGAGAGGTTAAATCTTCAACGGGAATTAACCAGAGTGAAACAAGAGGTGGTTGAGATTATGAAGGTAAAAGCTTAATTCAATTAATCTGTAGTTGTAAAATACATCAGTATATCACAGCTTTGTTATAATTTTGCTGTTTAATGAAATCTATAAAAATTATTTTCTATGATTAATGATTTACTTAAGGCAAAATAGAAAACTCCTCGTAGATTTTTTGTCCTCTAACAATTTAAAATCAGTACATCAGTGGCATGTAAAAAAGAACAGTATGACTCTTTGTTTCACAATGTTTAATAAAATTATTTATTAGAAGTACATTTCAGACTTTAAAGGGAGTCAAGAAGAAGAAATTAATGGTGGTAAGCTCATGCATCTCCACCAGGATTTTGGGTTTTAATACTAAGATCTTTTAATCATTATCCTAACTGAGTATGTGTAAATGTTTAAGAACTTGTTGCCTAATTGTTTGCTGGTTAAGAATTGCCAAAATTTACTTCATCTGATGTATTCAGGTCAGAATTGCAGGGGTACTGCACATGCATTGCAAAGCTGTAAATTTGAACACCTTTAAATTACAGTTCGTTTTTGACATTTGTAATGGTATTAATTTTTCTGAGAGAATACTCTGATGCTTTAGGAGGATGACTGACGTGCTTTACATTATTCTTAAATAAAGCACATGTGGAAGGCAACTGTCTACAAAGAGTATCACTACTTGACTTTGTGGATCATGAAATAACAAGGATACAGGGAAAGCTGCAGAAAGAAGTTCCTTGTCCAGTGTATTATCATGTTTGAATTGAAAATACTGTTTACCTTGGTAGAAGAGTCTTTAGAAAATGTGATGTTCCTTTTAGTAGTACTGTGAAAAACTTGAGAAGGGAGATGGATAACTTCAAGCCTGAAAATAAGAGCTATCAGGGCTTAATATTAACTCATTTTTACTTATTCAAAGGGAGTAAAGAGATGGTTCTGGTTTCTTCTCTCTGTTGCACTGCTTTTCTTATTAAGAAATAATACAAAGTGTTTTGTTACTTAATATTTGAAATGAGTTTTTTCTGACTTTGAGTCACAGAAGTCTTCAGAGGAACGAGTTGCTGAACTAGAAAAAATCCATAAAAAAGAAATGGCTACCAAAGATCAGGAGCTAAATGAGAGATTACAGGCGCAAGAAAAGGTGTTCCAGGAGAAGATGAAGGCAGCTCTTGTAAGTAAACCTAAGATGCGTAGAAAGACATTTCTCTTAAGTGTGAGTTGGGATTAGAAGTCTTGATCTGACACTATTCCATAGGGAGAGTCCTTCTGTGCTCAAAGATAGGAGTTTTCTCCAGAAGTCAAATGACTCAGAGACTTCAGCAACATGAAAAGAAAGCAGCTGCAATGATCCAGACTGAATAATGATAATTTATTACTATCAATGCTCACTAACAGCTACGTCTTTTGGAAATGGTTTCCTTTTTTGAAACTTTTATTTAGACTTGTTTTTTTAATTTCTTCCTCTGGATCACTGGTAATTAGCCACGGCAACCTAGAGTAAAAGATGTACAAAAAATGAGGCTGTTATTTGAAAAGCGTTGGTATGGTTATGTTTGGTTGCGTTGTGTTATGTGAACAGGGTTAACTATTCATAGTGTTTGACCTCAGAAAAAGAATTTTCTTCTAGGTCAGGTTGGGAAGAATCACTGGAATTCTTTGCTCTTTTTTGTGAGCTATAATCTACTTCAGATCATCATGTAATTTTACCTAGCAAATACTAGATTGGTTTTTATGCCACTCCATGATGGATGGTGACTGGGACTGAGGTCCTTTCCTGACTATATTTTTCTACCTGTTTCTACGTGATTATTTTCTTAATTATGAGGAACAGAGGCTTAAAATTGCATTAACAGTGGAATCGAAGGAGAACAGACCTTTATTCCTCTAAGATGTTATTCTCAATTAATACTGGTAAACAAACTAAAATGAAAGGCTGAGTTGCATCATATTTTTAATGCAAAGAGAAATAGAAGACAAATGGTTCCCAAGAAGAGAAAATGCAAGTTATTTATTACAATTTTGTTTTCACAGATGAAAACAAACTGTGTGTGTATGTAGAAAATAAAGGTGATTAGTGTATGACTCTTGTTAACTGATTTGAAAATATCCTATCATAATGTTTTTGAAGGTGTGATGACTGTATTTATAGTTTATTGTTTTACTTGTATTTCTTCATGCAGGAAAAAAATCAGAGCGAGTGCTTAAAAACCCTTCAAGAGCAAAAGCAGCAAGAATCCCTAGCCTTAGAAGAATTAGAGCTGCAGAAGAAAGCCATACAGTCTGAGTGTGACAAGAAAGTTCAGAAGATGCATCAAGAAGTAGAGACTTTTAGAACTGTGAGTAAAGATTCCAAAAGAGTAAACGTTTACAAGTAGTCCTTTCAGTATGTGCTTAACTGTGACAGGTTTACAAATAGAGGGTGGGTTTGTTGTGATTGGATCATTTTAATCCCAAAATGCTTCTTGTGGGATTAAAGCGACAGAAGTGTAATGTATTGCTATGGTATGCTGCAGCTCCTAGCTTTTTACAAGATAAGATGGCAAAATATAGAAATACATTCACTTTATACCGTGGCATGAGATATGAATTTGTATCCATCTACATAATTTTTATGTATGTAATGCAGAAGTTAAACTTCAGCCTGTTTAATTTCTGGGTACTGCTACTTTAAAAACACTTAAAAGGATACTTTAGGAAATAAAAATTTTACTTAAATTTTTCAAGTATCTTCTGCTTTATGTAATGGGTAAGATTGTATTATCTGCTAATGCAAGTTTGTACATTATTCCAGCACTCCCAAGTATTAGTTTGGAAGTTTTGCTTGTAGAAGCATTTAAACTTTACAGCAGCATTTCCATGAGAGGTGGAATTCAGATAAATCAGTAGATAGGTACAAAACTCCTTAGTGCTACCATAGATTCCAAATATCTTTCATCTTATTTGTTGGTACTTTAGCTTAAGAAGAAAATCCAAACATATCACATGACTTATTTTATTTGAATTAGTTACATTCTTTTCACAGTTCATTTTCACTGCAGTGAAATAGGAAGTTTTTTATTAAATAACTAACTCTGCTTTATAGAAGCAAAGGTGAGAACAAACTAGATGAATGAAAGGCTTATAAAAATTGTTGATATTCAGTAAAATAATGGAATAAGTGACTTGTAATAATCTCAGCCTGGTAAGATTTTTAAAAATTTAATTAAATTGTTACCTTTTGAATATTCATATTCTTTTAAAACTATATTCTTTAACAGAGGATTCTTGAACTGGAGAGCTCTCTTGCAAAGTATTCGCAAGGTGACAGAAAGTCAGAGGAATTAAGTACTCTCATAGAGTCTGAAAAAAAGAAGCACAGTAAGGAAATTAGTGATATGGTTGAAAAACACAATAAAGAATTGGAGAATGTGAAACAGCAGCAAGAAAGTCTTTGGACAGAAAAACTTGAAATTTTAAAGCAACAGCACATAACTGAAATAGAAAAAATAAGAGAGAAACAACAACAAGAGATAGATACGATTTTGAAAGAAAAAGAAACAGTTTTCTATGCACACATAGAAGAGATGAATGAAAAAACATTAGAAAAACTTGATGTGAAACAAACAGAACTAGAAGCATTGTCTTCTGAGCTATCGGAAGCACTAAAAATACGTAATGATTTAGAACAAGAGCTCTCAGAATTAAATAGTAAAGTGTGTGAAGCAAAGCAAGAATTGGAAGGAAAGTTGGAAGAAGAGAGGAAACGGCACAATGAAGTGATTGAAAAAATGTTAAGAGAGCACGAAATGTCTATTCAAAGTGTTGAGAAGGTACTCAAAGAGGAACTCAACACGCTCAAGCAATCCCTGGAGGAGAAAGACAGGCATTTGGAAGAATTAAAAGCACATGAACAGAAACTAAAGGAATCTGCAGAAAGATCTGAAGCTGAACTTGTCCAAGTGTCTGCAAAGCTAGAGGAGCAAAGCAACGAAAAAGTAACCTCTCTAACACAACAGTATGAATGTCAACTGAAGGATCTACAAAGGAAGGCTGATGAGATGAAGAGAAGTCTAACTGAGAAGGAAAATGAAATTGAGCACATGAAGAAATTACAGAACAACCAAGTGGAAGAGCTTAAGGAGAAACTGTTAGCTACAGAGGAGAAAATTAGTGCTTTACAAGGAGAGTATGAAAGTAAACTGAAATGTCAGGAAAAGAAAATGGAAAAAATGAAGCAGAAATCTAAAGATATGCAGGAAACTTTCAAAAAGAAACTTGCTGAGCAGGAAGCTAAACTAAAAAATGAGCTTGAAAACAAGCAGTTGGAGTTCAGTCAGAAAGAGAGTGAATTCAATGCTAAAATGTTGGAAATGGCACATGCCAGCTCAGCTGGAATCAATGAAGCTGTGTCAAAACTTGAATCTAATCAGAAAGAGCAACTAGAGAGTCTTGCTGAGGATCATAGGAGGAATTTGGAAGAAATTGTCCAAAGTTGGGAAAAGAAACTTAATCAGCAGGTTGAAGAGCTCCAGGAAAAACATGATATGGAACTGCAAGAGAAAGAACAGGAAGTTGGAGACCTGAAACAGAAGCTTGCCATCTTCACTGCTGAAAAGGAGGACTCCAGAACAGAAATAACCCAACTGAAGGAAGAACAAGTGAAAAGGGAGGAGTGCCTGAAGGAATTGCAAGAACAGCTAAGGCAGTCAGTGGCTAGGGTGAACACTTTGTCAGATACAGAAAGTGACCTGAAAACACAGTTGAGAAAATTGGAAGGTGATCTTAAACAGTCTTTGGAAGAGCAGACAAAACTTCAGGAGCAACTCAGTAAACAGAAAGCAGTTGAAGAGAAGGACAAAGCTAAAATTATTGAGCTGGCTGATAGACTGAAAACTCTTGAAGAGCAACTCCAAACTGTGCTATCTTCCCAGTATAAAGATCATAAAAATTATGAGAAAAAAATAGAGGCGATTCAGCTAAAAGAAACTGAATTGAAAAGGTTGTCAGGAGAACTTGCAACCCAGTTAGATGCTTATTGGAAAAATGTTGAAGCTTTATTGCAAACAAAAGGCAATGAATTAATTGAAAAATGTAAGGACAAAATTAGCATAGTAACATGCAAAATTGCAGACTGTGAGCGCCAAACTGCAAAAGTTAAAGAAGCAGTATTAATCAAAACAAGTAAGATAACTGAATTAGAAGCTCAACTTAGAGAAATAACAGAGCATCATTCTGCTTCTACTACTTCTTTACAAAAGTCAATGCAAGTGCTGCAAGAGAAGGACAATTTAATTATGTCCATGAGAGCCGACATTGAAAGACTTGTAACAGAAAAGGAACAATTGCAGAAAGAGGGAGGGCATCAGCAGCAAGCAGCATCAGAGAAAGAAACTTGCATAACACAGCTGAGGAAAGAGTTATCTGAAAATATCAACGCTGTTACATCAATGAGGGAGGAACTCCAGGAAAAACAATCTGAAGTGTCTGCTCTCAACAAAACAATTAATGACCTTAATGTTAGGCTTGAAAGCACAGTAAGTTTAAGAGAGAAGGAAGCAGCCATGTCTCTGTTAAGCAAAACACATCAAGAGGATCAGTTGCAGTTGTTAAACCAGATACAAGAGTTATCATCCAGAGTCGAGATGCTGAGTCAAGAAAAAGCATCAACCCTTGATTGCATGGCCCAGCTGTCAGAGTGGAAGATGAAAGCACAAACCAGGCTTACACAAAATGATGATACTATTAAAGATTTGCAGAGCAAACTTGAATTAAGCAATACTGCAACCAGTAAAAAAGATGAAGAGCTAAATAAACTGAAGGAGCAGCTGGCTAAACAAGCCAAGAATCTTGATAGTTTAAAAAGTGAATTGGAACAAAAGCAAAACAGGAAGGAAAAGCAAGAAAGTGAGTTAACCTCAAATTTAAAAAAACAAGCAGCAAAAATTGCTGAACTAGAAAAACACATTGCTGATAAAACTTCAGAAAATGATTCCTTGGTGGAGGAACTTAAAAAGTGTAATGAACAAAAAGACACAGAGAAAAAAGAGATAGCTTGGCAACTCCAGCAGGCAGAGAAGGTGGCTTTTGAAAAGGACAATAGATTTAAGAAGGCTGAAGAAAAAGTGCTTAATCTTGAGAAGCAAATAGATTCACTGAAAGCTGATTTTGAAGCAAAGGAGAGGGAATTTGATCAAATGAAGTCAGTGATGCTTAAAAGCAAAGAGGAAGAACTGAAAGAATTAGAAGAAAGGATGATTGTAGAGAACAGCACTAAGCTGGCAGATTTGAAGAAGAAGGCAGAGCAAAAAATAGGTTCTATTAGAAAGCAATTAATGTCTCAGATGGAAGAAAAGGAACAGAAATTTAAGCAAGATAGAGAGGATCAGTTAAGAGAGTTGGAACAGAAAATGCAGGAGAGAGAAGCCAAAATCAAGTCCTTAGAAGAAAAAATTAAATCAACAAGAGATTCCGCAGAATTAGAGAAGGAAATGCTGGAAAAACTAGAGAGTGTAAAAGCTACTGTAGAACAAGAAAAAAATAACATGCTTGAGAGTATCCAACAGACATACAAAGAGAAAATGCATGTGTTACAGAAGAGCTTAACTGAAAAAGATGAATTATTGCAGAAGTATGAGAAAGAACAACGAGAGAGTAATGACTCTCATCTAGAACTTCAAAACAAACAGAAAGAATTCCTTAAAAAACTAGAATATGTTGAGAAGAGCCATCAGGAAGAGCAGAGTAAGGCCGAAAGCCTCAGGAAGGAACTTCAGGAGCAAACAAAAAAATACTTATTGTTAGCAGATGAGCATGCTCGTTGTGGTGGTGATTTGGCAAGAAGTAGGGAAGAATTGAAAGGTACAGAACAAAAACATCTTGATATGGAGAATATAATTGGAGATTTCCAGAAGAAATTGCAGGAAAAGGAGGCAGTCCGTCAGTTTTTAGAACAGAAGATAAAAGAGTTAGAAAATAATCTAGTGAAGAAAAATGAAGTGCATAAGATTGAGATGGAAGATACAAGTTTAAGATATGAAGAAAAGCTAAAATGTTTACAGCAACACTTGGATGAAAGAAATGACAGTCTGAAAGCTTTTGAGGAAAATGCTGAAGAAAAGGCTAAATCTGTTTTGGAGCTGCAGAAATTACTAGGTGATATGCAGAACCAGCAGAAGGACTTACAGGCTAAACTGGAAGAGACTGAAAGGGAGAAACAGAAACTACACAAAGAGGTTAATAATCTTCAAAAAGACTTACGTATTTTACGAAAAGAACATCAACAAGAGCTTGATATAGTGAAGAAGGAGTCCTTAGAAGAAATGGAGCAGAAAATCAGGTATACTCTTTGTTCTTGTTTGTGTTACCATTTCTGTACTTTAACCACTAAAACCTCAAGAATACTTTTCTAAAGCTTAGTTTCTAATGAGGAAATAATGGCTGGTAATTTTCTGTCATTTTTCTAAAATAGAGAAACAGAAAGAAAAGAGGTTTGACTTTCGCCAGAGTAATACTGCTTCTCATCTCTTTCAGTGATGGTCATTTTCAGCATTGCCAAAGCATTAAATATAATTCTATTTTTCTCAAAAAGGAAATGAAATTTAAAACTTAGTACTGAGAGCTTCATGTTCAGATGTTATCAAGAACTGTCCATATGTACTGCGCAAAATGTGGTGTAATGCTCAGCACTCTTAATAGTTTCTCAAGCAATGAATTCCCTAAAAATTCTGCCTTTTATGACACATTCTTTACTTCCAGATCTTCAACTCCATATCTTTTGAAAGGGTTCAATTCTGGGTTGTTTTTAAATGAAACACCTACGCTTTCCAGGTAAAATAAATAGGAGGGGGAAAAAAGATTCTCTGAATCTCACAGAATTCATATAATTCAAAACCATCCCATTCTAAAGTAGTTTTGGAGAAACTCCCACATCTCTGACCTTGCTAAACTGTTCTCGCACACTCGTTAAACGTTTTATTTCCTCACTGTATTTTTTGACATTTTTGTACAGATGTGAACAAGAAGATATTGAGTTAAAGCACAACTCCACCTTAAAGCAGTTAATGAGAGAGTTCAATACTCAACTGGCTCAAAAAGAGAGAGAATTGGAAGCAGCAGTAAAAGAGACAATCAGTAAGTGAAATACAAATATAACTGTAATCAGTAAAATAGTCAGAAAACTGAATCTTTGGTTGTTTTGGGGAAGCGATTTTACCTGGGACTATGATAAACACATATGTTTTATGAATGCCTGGAGAACCCAGGGGAAGAACTTCCCTTGCTTGGGAAATAACATATAAATATTAATTTTAGTACAATTAGGAAAGTGCATATGTAGGTGTTCATCCTTACCCTGCAGGAAGGATCTTTGATCTAGCACTCTGTTTACATCTGTCATGGCAAGAGTTACGCATTATAGCTTATCTTTTTGTCATATGTATAGAAGAAAAAAAAAGAGTAAGACTTTGCAGGTGAAAGCACATTGGGAAGTTTTCATTGCAGTGCTACTTTGCAGTAGTACAAACTTCAACACTCCATTGTTGAATATATGGCAATGAACGGTGCCTTTTAGAGAAAGGTAGATCCATATGAGAATCAGAATAGCATTTTTTTAGCTGCATCTTGCAGATTTCATTCACTGTAACCACTAACAGGTGCAGCTGGATATGGTGTCTGATTGCAATACCATGTGGTTATAACTAGAGTACAGCATATTTCAGCTTCTCTGTCCATCTTTTGCAACCGTAGTGAAAATTGGAGATTAGAGAAGTGAACAAAAAGTATGTTTTGACTTCACTGTTACTAGAAGTACCTCTACAGATGAAGAATTTCTGAAGATTTACAGATGTTTCAATCACTTGTCTAGATAGAGTAGGAGATAGAATTCGTTGATAAATATTGGTTGTCATCTTAACTTCTGGGAAGAAGTTCCAGGTAGAAGAAACTGCTCCAGGTACCAAACTGCAGACGACAAACTTCGTACATATTAGGATCAAATGACATAATAGTTATTGGCAGTGTGGAAAAATGAATTTTCCTGGCATATTTTCCTTATATTTGCTTTCCACCCTTGTCTTTAAGCTTTTTTTTAAATATTGTCATGACATAATTAAAAAAAATAAGAAATGCCTTTTTTAATATTGCCTAACTTTTCTTTTATAGGTAAAGCCCAGGAGGTAGAAAATGAATTGATAGAAAATCATCACATAGAGACAACTCAGTTGCATAAAAGAATTGTTGAAAAAGATGATGATCTAAAAAGAACTGTGAAAAAATATGAAGAAATCCTTGAGGTATTTTTTTGAAAAGTGGTATGACTGCATACATTTCAGAATAACTCTTTTTTGATTGCACAGCTAGACAGAAAAACTAGAGTTCTTTCTAGTAAAGATCTTACTGCCTGAATTGCACTTGATATGTCTGGTGACCTAGCTTGCAATTTAAATGTTTGTTTCTGTGTTTTGTGGGCATAACAGAAATATGAGCCCTAGCTCTGATTGTTTAATAAAAGCTATACAGTTAGGTCCTTATGTCCTTGAGCAATTTGTGTACCATATTGGAATAAGGAAAGCGAGTGACATTTAAGCTTTACTAGAGTTGTGGTGGTGATGTATGGTTTTTTTGTAAGGATTTAAATACAGCGCTTATGGCTCAGTCTCACTCTCTATCTCCTTTTTCTGATGCTGTGTGAAGATTGGCAACATAGCCCTTAAAGTAAGGTTCTGTTCTATGCTGGGTGCAGTCTGTTTGCATAGTTCTTACATTAGTAAAGATTTCTTTTTTTACTTACCTTGAACAGTTTGTTTGCATGCTATTTGCAGATAGACATAGTTTAGTCCTAGTAGCATTTCAACCAGAAGTTAGCAGCCAATTTCTGTCTAAGGATACTTTACCAAAGATGGCTCCTGTTTTAGCCAAGTTAATTGACCCAGTCCCGCATGTATGGCACCATAAGGTTAAATGGTTTTCGGTGGTAGACTATACTTCATATTGGCATGCAGGCTTTAACTTTGTTAATCTTAGTCCTGTTTGCACAAATGATGTAATAAAAGAGAATGTCCCATTAATAGAGCCTGCAGCAATAAATGTAAGTGAACATCTGTTTGTTTATGCTCAGTTACCAGTCCAAAATTCTTTTTACTGGACATGACTGAGTATTTCATATTAAAAATTTCAACATATAAGCAGGTTGATGTGTTCCACTTTGATATTTCAACTTTCAGCAGATTGAATGGAGTTAGCAGGGTTTTAAATTTAGAGTCCCTTTCTTTTCTTTCTTAGTTTAGAAAAATTGCATAATATAAAAGAATCAAGTTTTTTTGAAACATAGGTCTAAATTCCGCATTTCTGGAGGATTTAGATTTCTCTTACTTCAGTGTGCAGTGTGTTGCCTTTCAGGTCCTCAATTTATATCCCCAAATAGGTATGTGATTTGAAGTTGTGCAGGTGTAATTCCTCTGTTTTCTGATACTTGTAGTCCATACATAGGTCAGAAACACACATGCTGTAGTCATTGTGTGATCTTGAAGGTTTAGGCTGATTTGACTTCTGTGTAATTGGAGGACATGAACACTGTCATTTTTTGCATCTCATTGATGATGGCAGTAACAATTGCCTGGAACTGCAATAAACTGTAGTTTGATATTTTAAATTTCAGACTACATGTTTCTTTTATAGGTATATGTATGTTTTGTTTCTGTTATTTTTTTCCTGAAGAAGTGTTGCAAGCATCTCAAAAATTCAGAAATACTTACCTTAAATTGAAGGTATGTCACGTTCATTGAGATCTCTGGTAGAAATAGGAGCATATGCATCACCAGATTTAGCCTAAAGTTACCAGTTATTACCCCACTTATACTTGACTTGGCTCATGACAGGTTTGAAAAATTTCGCATCATGACATTTATGCAGAGAGGGTTGTCTCTGTCACAAATGGTAAGAAGATGAAGCAAAAATAAATCCAATTGCAAAAATGAATCTTGCTCATATAACTTTGTAGCTCTTTTGCATTTTAAATATGGTTGATGATGCTAAAAATTAGTCTAACTTGATTTGAGTATGTATCCTTAAAGACAAGCAGGAATCAATAAGTTTGTTAAACTTCACATGATTTACTTGTGAAGTGCTCCACTGAAGTGCTCATCTTTCGTGAAAACTTCTATAACATAAGTTTTCATAGAAGTCTCCCTAATTAAAGGATTTGTAAATCAGCATAGCCTATAATTTGGGGCCTAAGTATTTTTTTTCAGCTAGGGTATACAATTAGAGAAAAAATGAATGTTGTATTCCAGCTAGCTTATTTTAAGCCTGTCTATGAGCTAAAAATAAAATACGTAACTTCAGGTATGTATCCTTTCATTTGTCGTAATGCCTTCCGTATGAGTACAGGATAGGCTTTGGGGTTAAGATTTGGGAAATCATAACTTTGTCAAAGTCTTAGTCTATAACTGTATTTAAATCCCAATGACATATTTTCAGAGTATGCCAGGTGCTGTATAGAACAACAAATTATTGCTGTAAACACAGATCAAGAGCATGTTGGAACCCCACTTAATCTCTAATTATTTCAAATTACAAATTAAATTGTCTCTTTTATGCAAGTGTCATTCATAATTCTGGGTTGAATTTCTTTTCAGCCTTTTAACTACCTTTTATAACTAAGAATGATGTGCATGCAGTTGCGATTTATTTAATTAAACAGTAGTCTAGAAGTAAGATTTTAGATTCTTCATGGACAAAAACATCAGAAAATCCCCAAAAGCCAAAACAACAACCACCACCATTACTGAATATGCCAGGTACTGAGGATTTTTTACTAAAGGAGTATAAAAACTATAAAAAAACCCAATCTTAGAAACAATAATTGTTGATACACTTCTGAGGGCATAGAAAAATCTTGTTCATGAAAAGAAGCTAACACTGTTTGGAGGTCATGATGTTTGAGCAAGATTTTTCTTGAAGATGGATATTCTTAAAACTTTTAGGCTTTACGGCAATTTTTACAAATTGCTCATATACTATGACTTCTCATTCACTAGGGGCAGATTTGCTTTTTTTCTTTTTGGTGATGCTTTTTGGGCTGAGGGGCTGCAGGGGGAGGGTGTTTCATTCTTATGTCAGGGGCAAAGAACATTAAAAATTGACCTTGCCGGGAAATAATTATTTTTTTAGTAACGACATACCGTAAATCTAACCTGGATCAGCTTTCTAGTTCTACACTTGCTTTTCTAGTGAATATTCTGTATCATTATAATTGTACTTCTGAGATTTTTTAATAGAACAAAATTTCCATCAGCTGTTCTTTGCTTGTTTTCAGTTGATTAATTGTACGAATTTTATTTGAAGTACTACTGCGTAGCAGAGCAGTCAGCTGACTGCCCTGTGTGACTAGCATGAGTGAAACTAGAGTTTTAGTTTCATCTGGCGGTAGAGACATACACTTGGAATTGGAGGCTATTTTATGAGGTCCCTAACATGGGATCTCACAGAAAGGCCAGAGGGGACACAATTGAAAAAAATACTTGTTTTTGCAGAGTGTCATATGGGTAGATTAATTTGCTAGGGTTTAGGTCATCGTACTTTTGGTCTCTACAAGAAAAGTTCATTTTCTTCCTACCCTTCTTGCCACCGCTTCTTTCCCCCCACACTGCATTAGTGCCTTTCAGACCCTTGTGAATGGGGAAATCATTGGTCATTGTTTCTGAAAATGTGCTTAAAACTGCTTTAGTACCATCTTTGTGAGAGTGACTGAGGAAAGGATTTAAGTCCTTGTCATTTCTAGAGTATAGGAATTAACTACGTATCATCATTTGCCCCTTCCGTGAAGGTTATGACCTTCACACACTTACTGGATTATACTCAAATGCTGGTTTAGTGCCCAAGAGAAATAGGATTTTTTTGTAATTTTTAAAAAAGCTAACTGTAATCTTAACTATATAATCTTTATTGTTGAGCACCCTGTTTGTTTCTTGTTCTGTTCTGTAGTCCTCTTGTGTATACAGCTTTTATACCAGATTTCAAGCATATTCTTTCTGTGTATAGCATAACTTCTGTTGATTGCTTTATGTCCACTGTACTTAAAGTTTTCATTGATTACTTGGGTAATTGTATAAGTAAGGTTTTTCCCCTGTGTTTTGAAGTCGCGTGAAGAAGAGATGACAGCAAAAGTTCATGAGTTACAGGCACAGCTAGAAGACTTGCAAAAGGAATACAGACAAAGGATTGCAGAAGAGGAACATTGGAACAATGAAAAAGTGAGCTGGCACTATCATTTGTTTTTATAATTTTAGGTGTGAAATTCTTGGTCTTCATGAAATTCTGTAGTTTATTCCTAATTGGATTTTATTTAAATATCTGGCCTTCACTTTCACATACAAAGTGAACTTCTTTAGAAGCTGAAGCTTTGGTACATACCTTTTTTACTGGTCCAGTTTTGCTGTTATTATTAAGGTGGGGTTTTTTGCCCTCTACATTTCTTTTAGCTGATTTTACTGAAAGCCCTTTAGAAGGAAAGGAAATAGCATTAAGTCCTTTTTAGTGTGATATTTTTAAAATTCGCATTTCAGAGGGGTCTGAAGTAGTACCTTGAATATATTAATTATAGACAGAATGGCCTTCATTGAAAGAAGTCTGATTTCATGCGTTTGTCTTTCTGAGACCACATTTTAATTTGAGGAATTCTTTGATTAAAATATTAGTAGTTATTATTACACTGAGGAGAGGAAAAGTATGTGAATTGTTGAGTCATTGATGAGAATTCATATTGACCTTACTTTTAAATTTTTCCTTTTGACAACAGGCAGCTCTGGGGAGAGTAAATTTATATATTTGACATTAGAAACTTAATGTACAAATTACCTCACTGTGCTAATGTTTGTCCCTTCTGCCTTGGACTTGCTTAAAACACCCTTCATATTACTTTTCTTAACTATTCCATGATATGTGTTGTTTTCTTAACAGGAAAAGCCGAAACATTTGTTTAAGACTACCTTTTATTCTTAATTAACCCTTGTCCACCTACTGATAATTTTACATAATCCTATTATCTAGAGAAAGATTCCTTAAGGGACTCCTAAACCCTAAAGCATGATTATGAAAAGTGTGAAGAGTACTTTATCTTTAGAACTTCTTTGTTAACTGTTTCACTAGTTATGGAAGTTATGGAAGGTGGTCATTTAGTATCGTATTACACATGCATATTCAGGATTACATATTCACTGGTAAGACATGAAAGTTGTATCAAATCTATATACCAGGAATGATATTTTATGTGTTCATATACTTGGCTCAGGAGCAATGCATCCCAGCAAGGAGGAAATTGAGCAAAAATGCCATGAAGCCTCCATGGATGGATAAGGAGCTGCTGGGCAAACTCAGAGTGAAAAAAATAAGCTTTCAGGAAGTGGAAACAAGGGCAGATGGCCTGGGAGGAATACAGGGAAATTGTACAGGAAGCTAGGGACAAGTTTAGGGAAGCTGAAGCCCAATTAGAATTGTGTCTGGCCAAGGATATTAAGGATAACAGGAAGGGCTTCTATATTTATGTTGCAAGTGAAAGAAAGGCTAGGGATAATGTGGGCCCTCTCTGGAAGGAGACAGGAGACCTGGCTACCCTGGGTATGGAGAAGACTGAGGTTGTCAATGACTTCTATGCCTCAGTCTTCTTGGCAAGTGCTCCTGCCACACCATCCAAGTCATGAAAGGCAGATGCGGGGACAAGGAGAATGAAGACCCACTGTAGGAGTGGATCACGTTCAAGACCATCTAAGGAACCTGAATGGGTTCCATGGGACCTGATGAGATTAATCCACAGGTCCTGAGGGAGCTGGCAGATGAACTTGCTAAGCCATTAGTCTTTTTGGAAAATCAGGGCAGTCAGGTAGAGTCCCTGATGACTGGAAAAAGGAGAAAGCAGAAGACCTCGGGAACTATGGACCAGTCCATTTCACCTCTGTCTCAGGCAGGATCATGGAACAGATTCTCCTGAGAACTGTTCTAAGGCACATGGAAAACAACGAGGTGATTGGTAACAGCCAACATGGTTTTATTAGAGGGAAATCACGCCTGACAAATCTGGTGAGCTATGATGGGGCTACAGCATTGGTGGATAGGGGCAAAACAACTGACATCATCTACCTGGACTTATGCAAAGAGTTTGACATTGTCCTGCACCACATCCTTTGTCTCCAAATTGGAGAGACATGGATTTGATGGACGGACCACTCAGTGGATAAAGAACTGGCTGGATGGCTGCATGCAAATAGTTGTGGTCAATGGTTCATTGTCCACGTGGAAACCAGTGACGAGTGGTGTCCCTCAGGGGTCACTATTGGGACTGATACTGCTCAACATCCTTGTCAGTGATATTGACAGCAGGATCGGGTGCTCCCTCAGTAAATTTGCTGACAACACCAAGATGTGTGGTGCAGTTGACACACTGAAGGGAAGGGATGCCATCCAGAGGGACCTTGATAGGCTTGAGAGGTGGGCTGATCAAAACCTCATGAAGTTCAGCAGAGCAAAGTGCAAGGTCCTACGCCTGGGTTGTGGCAACCCCAGGCACACCTGGCAGAGAATTGATTGAGAGCAGCCTTACAGAGAACAACTTGGGGTGACGGGTGATGAAAAACTGAACATGAGCCAGCAGTGTGCCCTCACAGCCCAGAAAGCCAATGGAATCCTGGACTGCATCAAAAGGAACATGGCCAGCAGGTCAAAGGAGATGATTCTACCCCTCTACTCTGCTCATGTGAGACTCCAGCTGGAGTACTGTGTACAATTCTAGTCCCGAACCTAGGAAGAATGTGGAAGTGTTGGAGCAAGTCCAGAGGAGGACCACAAAGTTGACAAGAGGACTGGAGCTTCTCCCCTACGAAGACAGCCTGAGAAAGTCGGAGCTGTTCAGCTTGAAGAGAAGGTTGCATGAAGACCTCATAGCGTCTGAAGGGGGCCCACAGGGAAGCCAGAGAGGGACTGTTTGTCAGGAACTGTAGTGACAGGACAAGGAGTAATGGGTACAAACTGAAAGAGGGGAAGTTAAGGTTGAATATTAGGAAGAAATTTTTTACTGTGAGGGTGGTGAGACAGTGGACCAGATTGCACAGGGAGGTTGTGGTTGCCCCATCCCTGGAGGTGTTCAAAGCCAGGTTGGATAAGGCCTTGAGCAACCTGGTCTAGTGGGAGGTGTCCCTGCCCATGGCGGGGGGGTCGAGACTATGGGATCTTGGTCCGTTCCAATCCCTTAACATTCTGTGATTCTTTGATTCCTCAGTTCTTCCCAGAAATGCATCACACAGATTTGCAAAGGTAGCATAGAGCTGTAAAATATTTGAATATTGCAAATATTGATTACATTAAACAAAATAAACAGTTAATTTTACCTGTGTTTGGAATCTTGTCCACAGTTCTCCACTCCTTGGAGTTTCCATGGCAGACTTTGGAGAAACTCAAAGGAGTTGTTCCATCTGTGGCAGGTATAAGCCAGTTCAGAGAACTCCATTGCTGGTGAACAGCTTAGTTTTAAAGTATAATTGATGTCTCATTTGGGGGGGGGAGGAAGACCAGGTTGTGTGTGTGTATGTGTGTGTACATAGGTACAGTAAAAGCATCCAGGTTCAAAGTGCTTGCAGAATAAGAATGTGATTTTTTTTTTTGGTGAGTGTAAGGCAGTTCATTATTTGATTTCTCTTGAATATAGGCATCAAACTTTCTTGAATAGTTTTGAGAATTCCAACTAAATTTAGCAAATTGTTTACAAGCTTTCTTTTGCGTAGCTGATTTAATTGAATGTAAATATATTATTTGATACTATTCACAATGGTGATTTCATTTCAAAAAAACATAACTGTTCTAATAGATTATGCTATTGAATGTGCACATAGGTCCTGGTACATCTTCTGGTCCAGTCAAAGCTCAAATATTTAGAGTGGTGTAATTGGGCTTTCAGTTTCTGTTTTATCAGTATTTCAGGATAGGGTTCCTACTCTTTGGCACAGTCTGTTCTGGGATCAAGAGGTAGTTTTCTTTTGTTCTCCTTAGAAATTAAGAGCTATTATTTTTAATTCTTACCTGTCTTAATTTGTTCATTGCCTGTCCTTGGTATGTCTTCAGGAAACTAGTTTTACTATTATCTGGTGCAATAGCACATATTTGCAACAAATACCATAGCAGCATTATATGTAAATATATATATATATATGCAGCATTACAGACCTAAATAAGAAAATTGGACAGGGCCTGTGGACCTTGGCAACATACCAGAGCAGAACTGTACAAATCCACATCTGGATTTTACAGTGCATTCAAATGAATTCCATCATCTTACATTTGTCATGGTATTTTTTGTCTTATCTTATTTCTTTTTTATTTTGTTGCTCTGTAACATTTTTCTCTTTTATGTTGAGGGGTTTTTCCCTTCAGCACTAGTAGTAAAAATGCTCAGAAGTCTTCTGTTGACTGGAAGCAGCTGCAGCTGATGCATTTGTTGTCCAAAGTTGGAGACTCCCAAATCACAGAAGTTTGTCTTAAAAAACTTCCTGTGCTGCTTGTTGTCAGCCTAGGCCAAACATCACACATAACATATTCACTCTGACATAAGGATAGATATTTGAACAATATTTGTCTGACTGATAAACAATTGACAAATACTAACAACCTTAAGTGTTATCATTTGGATGTAAAAATATCAGAAACTGTCTCTCTATATGAGAAAATAAATGTCTGATGAGATGACTGAGCTCTTCAGAAGAAAGAATTGCACTTACAGGTTTGAGGATTGATTTTCCCCTACTTTCTGTTTGTGTAGTGTAGGAAAACCCACAGGTTTTATCAGCCTACAGAGATAGAGAATAGCTCTCCTTTTCAACACAATTCCAAAGAGGCTTGGGAAGAAAAAAAAATATGTACTACTTCTCTGTTAAGGTTTAGGTTACCTTAAAAAAAAAAATTCACACATAAATGATTTGATGTTGAAATGCATTTACAACCTTGATTTATACCCATGACTACCAAAGCATTACTTTCCTTAGAGTTGGAACATTGAAAGATAGAAATATCAGCTTAGAATTTTTTCTGTACTTCATAAACATCTTTGCAAGATGTAGAGCTCATGAAGCTCTTAACTGAAGCTATTTTCAGGTAAATGTTCACTTTTCCAAATGTGGCTTGAAGAATTAAGGTAAAAGATACAACATTACGAATAGTATTAATAGTAGTTAGGGTATCCTGGAATGTACTTCATACTCATTCAGTTATTATTCATCTCCAATATGTATTTTGTAAAGATTTGAAACACTAGGTTCTTGAAGTTATATTTGTGATAATTGTCTTACAGAATAAAATGAGGTAATTTAAATATAAGCTTTATGTACTGACAATACAAATAAGTTAAACTCTATGAGACTAGTTATTTTTATAAGTACATGGGTATTTGGTAATTTCAATTTTTATCATCCTTAGTTAACACGCTGTATCAGAACTAGATGATTGGTATTTTTTTCTTCAGTGCTTGATATACTCAGTATTTTTCTTGCATTTTAATCTAAATTTTTGTTGTTGTTTTTCTAGGTCACACTATCAGAACTAAAGGTAAGTCTTATATGTTACTTATTTTGCACTAATATTTCTGTTTCAGAGCAGTTTGAAAGCTGAAATGATGTTTATAACTGTGTGTGTTAAAAGGAGAAAGAAATTTTTTGCAGAGGTGCTTTTGATGTATTTTCAGCAGTTCCTTGATGATTTCCGTATGTGACTGTTCTTTCAGGCACAGCTTGCACAGAAAACGACGTTAGTCAACGATTCAAAACTGAAAGAGCAGGAATTGAAAGAGCAGGTAAGGGTGATGTTGAATGAATAAAAAGTGTTCTTGTTTGATACTCTGTGTTTTCAGTGTTAAAAGGTTTGTTCTTTTCAAGTGATGATGTGGCACATCTCCACACAAAGTACTATGAAAATAATAGGCAGATAAAATAGTTTTCACTCATACTTGCTCTCAGATATGTGTACTTTCCAAAGGACTCCTGTATCCACTGAGAATGAAACTACCATATGCTTGTGATACTGGTTAGCAAAGCAGTTGCACTGTGATAAAGGTAACAGTGCACACCATGAAATTCTGGATTTTTTTTTTCAAAACTAAAACTTTTTGATGATAATTTTATGTATGCTTTTATATATATATAAAAAAAATAAAAATGTGGGTATATTATATATACATAACATCGCTGTAGATATTTTTATGTGTATATACACCTGTATGCACATTTCCTTAAGTAGTTTTTGATAGTTCTAATAATACAGTTTTTAATGTTTTCCCTCCTTAAAAAGCAAATGTATTTTGCTTTCATAGGAGATGATGTTTAGTGAAAACTGTTTCAGTGATGCTTGTTTTAGCTGCTTATGAACACCATTTATAATTTTGACTGTTCTCTATTTAGATTCATGTACTGGAAGACCGGCTGAAAAATTACGAGAAGAATATGTACGTCACACCAGTTGGAACGCCGTACAGAGGTAAGTACACAGTTTTCATCGGAAAGAAATTTTCCGTTTGTTTGAAAGATATACTTTGGTCTAGACAATGTAATTAAAATGTCAGTCTCCTTTAGACACTCATTTTGTGACATCCTTGTTTTGTCTTGTCTGTTATAATAGAGTTAGTGTGTGATTTCAGATGAGCAAATCACAGAGCATTTTGTTTGTTGTTTGTTTTTTTTGTCATACAGTTAAAAGAGCTCTATATATCAGAGTTCTTAAACTCTCTGCCATGCAGATCCCAGGCCCATTCAGGTGACAGGGACGGAGATGGGCACATGTACAGCATGGCTCAGGCAGGAACTGATGGCCCCAGGCTGAGATTGGATGCATCTCCTGGGCCCTTGGCAGGAACCAGTGGGGATGGGGGTCCCAGGGGAGGCCGGTCCCAGCCACTGAGACCTGTGAGCACCCCCAGGACCCTGACAGAGGTAGACTTGAACTGCTCATATGCTCTCCTTTGGACATTGGTTATTGGCCACTTTGGAGACAGAGTATGGGCAAATGGACCTTCTCTCTGGTGGTGTACTGTTCCTCTCAGGCTCTGTTGTTTTAACATGAGATAGAAAAATCCACAGGGAAATGGTGTTCCTTACTTCCAAAAGATTTTCAACTGTTTAGTTGAGGAACACGTTCTGCATGAGACTGAGGGCTCAAGAATTGAACCTTGCTAGTATCAGAGATGCAGAGTTTTGCCATCCTGTGGAAACCCATCTCAACTGGATGAACTCAGGAGACTTTCAGAACCCACATATCACACTTATTCTTTGCAAATTTGTGCAAATGGTCAAATTATCTCAGGATGATGCACAGCTCTCACTTTCCCCTCTCCCCCCCTCAAAGGTCCATGTCTCCTTCCCACAAGGTGACAGAGCGAAGGATGGGATGTGATTATGAGTATTGAATATCTTCTGCTAGGGCTGGGAAGAAATATCATCAAAGATTTCCTCAGCATGTACTGATTGGGAAAGAAGCAGGTAGGAAGAAGCATAGCATAGCATAGTTCAGCTGGAAGGGACCAACATCAATTACCTAGTCCAACTGCCTGACCACTTCAGGGCTGACCAGAAGTTAAAGCATGGCTTTAAAGAGCACTCTCCAAATGCCTCTTCAGTGCTGACAAACATGGGGCATCAACTGCCTCTCAGTGAAGCCTGTTCTAGGGTTTGACCACTCTCTGGGTGAAGAAATGTTTCCTCATGTCAAGTGCAAACTTCCCCTGATCGATGCAGGTTTCAACCATTTCCGTGTGTCCTGGCACTGGGTACCAGGGAGAAGAGGTCATCACCTGCCTCTCAACTTCTCCTCCTCAGGAAGCTGTAGAGAGCAGCAAGGTCACCCCTCAACTTCCTCCTCTCCAAACCAGACAAACCCAGAATCCTCAGCCACTTCTCACAGGACATGCCTTCCAGCACCTTATCGAGTAGCAGTGGTGCCCTCCTCTGGATTCATTCACGTACCTTATCATTCTTTTTAACTGGTGGGGCCAAGAATTGCCTGCAGTACTGAAGGTGAAACTGCACCAGTACTAAATACAGCAGGATAACCAACCTGTCTTGGCTGGCTGGTGATGCTGTGTTTGATGCACCCCAGGATGTGGTTTGACCTGTTGGCTGCCAGGGCACACACTGCTGACTCCTGCTGAGCTTCCTGCCAACCAGCAGCCCCAAATGTCTTTTTGCAGGGCTGCCCTTACTCCGTCCCAGGTGCAGAATCCAGCATTTGTTCTTGTTCTGTTTCATGCCATTGGTGAAACTTAGATTCATATGAGTGACTCTCAGTGTAAATATGCTCTTATTTTTGTTTACACAGATGGAAACCTTCACCATACTGACGTTTCCATTTTTGGGGAGCCTACGGAGTTTGAATACTTGAGGAAAGTGCTCTTTGAATATATGATGGGTCGTGAGACAAAGGTATGGAAATTTTTATATGGTGACAGGTGATTCAGGTTAGAGTACAGTTTAACATCCTTGCTGTATAGATGTGAAATACCATATGTTTGTGATTTGTTACATGGTGTTTATTACTGACACAGGATTCAATAGGCTTTCACATTTGTTTTCCAAAGAGGGATGATCCATAACTTAAAACTTTGTCAGCATGCCAAGATGAGTGGCAGGGGAAAGGGGCTTTCACATCTCTCACCAATGTACCTATGAAGACAAAAACCTTTATGAGTAGATACAGTTTTATTAGCAAAAGTCCTGTTGTCAGTCAGTCTTAATGTACCAGCACCATATTAGCAAAAGTGGTCTTTTGATGTCATCTTGATGCAAACATAGCAGGTAATGGATTAAATAATAGTTCGTTAATAGCTCTGAAGATGATGAAATATCTCTTCAGGTTTTGCTTAAAGATGTTTTATAGGGCTCCCAAATCTGTGTATCTTAGATAATAGTAATTTACTCTTAAAAGTAGTGAAAAGCTGTACAGTAGGCTTCTTGTTGTATGCTGCAAGCTTGTGAAATCCTAAGTTGGAATTTTACTAGCTTCTTACAGTACTAGTGCTTAGAGATTGACCAGGTTCAAAAGAGGTATAACACGAATATTTTCCTTGGATGATAAATTCTATGTGGATGAATTTTTGTATTTGTTTTTTTCCTCCTCTCTGGAGTTCTTCCACTGTTGCCCTACTTTCAACTTAGACTACTATAAAGCAAAGAGTTTTTATGTAGGTTTCTGTGTTAATTAGCTTTGTTCTCATTGTGTTCTGTACAGAATAAAACTTGGACTGTGCAGAACATCTTGTCCTTATGGGATTTCTCATCCTCTCTCTTTTTATCCCATTTTTCATTGTGATATTAATTCCTTTTTTATTAAAAATAAAAATCCCTGATCCAAAAACCCCAGAATCACTAGTTACCTTCTGTTCACAAGCCTGTGGCTTGTTGGATAGCTCTCCTACTTAAACAATGAAATAGTTAAAGGAAAATACCTACAGTAGTAGATTTTATGATTTTGAATTGTGAGGGACTTAGACAAGTGAAAATGCTAAAAAAATCTGTCAGCAATGTTTCAGTTTAAAACAAGTCTTAAAACAGCTGCAGACAACTATTGCATATAGCTGATGCACATAGCAAATTTTCATTCAAGAAAACCTAATCTGAAACCTCTTTTTTGCTCATCGAGGCTATCTGTCAATGATGTTCAAAACATTTCTGTACGTGCCTCAAAACTTTGGAGTATAAATTGTTAGAGTTATTTTTCTTTTTAACAGTGTTATACTAGAATTTGCAGTTGATTTCTTCAATAACAGCAACTAACTACGATCAGTGCTAAAGAAAATTGTCTTTAGGTCTCTCTTTGTGTTTCAGTCTCCAGTTTTGCTTCAAAAAGTGGTTTCAAGCTGATTTCATCTGCTGGTTTTCTTTCAATCATTAGCTGTGTTGCTAGAAGACACTGAGCTTAGTATCTGCTCTCATCAGGATTATATCATATAATCTTAAATTTACGGAACTGTGTCTTGAGAACTGGTTTCATCTTGCTACACTGACTGGAAAACCATGAGCAATGATGGTGCAATTGATAAAATTTTTTAACACAGTCTTAAGCATGTGCTTTTTCTCCCCCAACACAGTCCTGGAGTTAAAAGATCTGTGTTGTGATTTATCTCCTGAGTACAGATATTCGTTTCTCTCAGCTTTTATTTCCCTGGACCAGAAGAGGCATTTTTTAATCTAATTTTCTCTTGTAAGATCATTTGGTGGCCTTCCACTGTGCAGGATCTCCTTTTATAGTACAAATATATATGCCATGTCTCAAAGGTGATTCAGTAGTGGAGTTGGTGATGTCTATGGACACGTTTCCTCTTTATTGAAAGGAGTTCAAAGGAATCTGTGCAAATTATCTAGGATGGATTGCTATTTATGCAGCCTCTTAAATGATCCTGGAATACTATCAAGACATTAATGAATGCACCAATTAGATTATAGCGCTGGAGGCATAAGAGAAATGTGGAGGGTTGATACAAATTTTAAGAATCAGGAATTACAGTCATAACATGTAACCTGTAATCTGTCACACTCTTTGTAAACTGCTTGACCAAGATGTGTACATGTCTTTGCGGGGGGACTTTACTTTCTTGCCCTCCAGTCCAACTTTATTTGCCTCTGTCTTGGCAGGATTCATGAAAGGAGATTGCCAGCTTTTTCTAAGCATGCACTTTGTTCAGTATGCTGTCTTGTTAATGGACTCTATTGTTTGAGCATAGGTACCATAGAACTCACATCATATTACAGTAGCTGAAGTTTGTGATAATGTGAAATGGTGACCCTTCATTGTTTTCATATAATTCACAGAATATGTTGTGCATATATGGTGTGAAACAAATAGTTATATCTTACTGATTTTACTGTTTTCCATTGACATTAGTACAAATACTATACTGTATTCTTAAATGAAATTCATTTTAAAATATTACAAAGCATTTTCGTCCATGTGGAATTACTTATAGATAACATACATCTTTTTAGACAATGGCCAAGGTTATAACAACAGTGCTAAAGTTCCCAGCAGATCAGACTCAGAAGATACTAGAACGAGAAGATGCTCGACCAATGGTAAGTTATATAAGTAAACCAAGTTTATGCACGAGGGTTAGGTTTCAAGAATAAGGAATTAGAAACTTATTTTTAAGTCTCCTTTTACCTGTGTCCACATTCAAGTGAGCTCCTTTTCTTCCTTCTTCCCTCTTCTTCAGTGGAATGTCAAATTTGAGCTCTAGATTTGAGTTTGTAACAATAGTGAGAAAAAAAGCAAGCATATGAAAATTCATGTTTCTTAAATTCAGAAGTTTCTGTGGAAGTTGTACCAGTTTTCATGAAAAATATGTCAAGAAACATTTTTTTCAGACCTGGAATAAAATTTCTGGCAAAAACAAGAGCCTGCAAAAACATTTTGCTTGTAGAATATAAAACTAATTAGCTCTATCACCTGGGATATGAGTTTGAAGTGAGATATGTACAATTTTATTTTAAGTGTGTATCCTAACAAGATTGGGGTTTTGTTTGAGGTTTGGGGCATTTTTGTAAGTCTGCTTTATTTTTGTACTGAAAAAACATGAAAATATGTCAGTTCACTCCAGGTCAGGACAGGTCAAAAATAGTCAGTCTTCAACACTTTGGTGTTGGCTTTTTCCCAGTTTCAATACATTTATTATATGACATTTGCTTGGTATTTACCATCTGATCTATTTACCAGAAAGGTGAAATTGGGTTTGAGAAGCAGACCCAAAAGAGGATAAGGTTATATGAGCATAACCATTTCTTTGGTATTACTGTTACTGTTTTATGCATTGGAACTACTTTTTATCAAAATAAAAACTGCAGTAATAGTCTCCTATACGTTGTATCTGGAGTCAATACTGTGATCCCTCCCTTTGTGAGTCAGCTTAGTGAAATATTTAGGAATTAAAGTGAGAGGAAGAATACCGCTCTGTTTCTCTCACTGGCCTTGCATATATATTTATTTAGCACTTGCAAAACCAGAATAAAATAAAAATTTGAACATTTTTACATTTCATTTGAAGTAGTTAGTTACATTAAAATCCTGTTGATCCATTAAAACAGATTTTTAAAAAAATCTGTATTTTTCATCTGCATGCAGTATCACATCTGAGCAAAGTGTTAAATACGTCAACATTTTCCTGTACAGTTAGTAGGTTTGAGAATGTCTTGCAATCTTAAATATTTAAAATACTTTTAGAAGTATATAAATATTGATAATACTGCAGCTCCAGTAAGTACCATGTATCCCAAACATTATTTTATCTCTCTGACATTCAAATAAAAAGCTGGGGCTTTTTTGTTTAGTTTTGTTTTGGCAAGCTAGAGTGATATTTAGGAAACCTTTTGAGATCAGAGGTGGACCTTATTTTGCAGTCACTTCAACTTTTTAATACTTGAAATCTGTTCTTCCTACAACAGACATTCACCACTTCTGATACGAAATAAAACTTTAACTTTAATTTATCCAACAAGATTTCATCCTTGGTATTAAATTTTGGCTAAAATATATGGTGAGGGTTATTTTGCAGGCTGCGAGTGCTGTGATTGTTGAGGATATCGTCATTAAAAGAGCTTCATGTCCTGATGAAAAACTTCTTGGATTTCATGTAGCAGTCCCTTCTTGGCTCAGATCTAGCCTATGAATTTTCTCCTTTCCAAATGTACAGAGATTGAATTAAACATCTAATGGATACTCAAATACGAGGGCGTATTATGAAGGAAGTGTTTTTTTTTTTTCCTTGACTTCGAAGTTAACTAAGTTTGTTTGCTGAAGCACAAATTATTTTGAGTGGTGCTTCTTTCGTAATTCTGTTTAGAACTAAAAAGTTAGAGAGATCTTTATGAATTATTCTGTAAAGAAATATGCTTGATTTGTTGGGGGTTTATTTATTGGCATTTACTTACGTAGTAGTAATGTTTCTCCACACTTAATATTGGAGTAATGATGGTATTTGAAAATATCCAGTGTTAAGATCTCACAAGCAATAAAGTTCTGAACTACAACATAAATGTGCATTTTAACATAAAGCTTGTTTGTATTTTAGTTTACTGCCAGAACTTATGTACTTTTAATGTGTAAACTGTTAACTAATTGTGGTACTAGAGTAACTGTGTGGTACTAAGTATCTTTTATTAATTATATACCCTCTTAGTGGGCTTATATTTAACAGGTTTTTTCTGAAAACTTGTAACAATACGAGCCAATAAACATATGCTAGATTAATGTATCATTTTCACTAATCTAGCTTTTACTACATGGTTACTGTGTTCTAACTGCAGCAATCTCATCAGTAAACTGTAGATGTCCACAGAGCTCTTATCTATTAACACTATATAACACTGTTAACAAAGTAGTCCAATAAGCTCTTTTCTTCCTGGCTTTGTAGTTTGCCTCACCTCGCAGTGGTATCTTTTGAATATCCCATCAGTCTGTGCTTAGTTAGCATGTGGGTGAGTGAAGTCTAATACATCCTTGTTTTATTTAAAGATGGAACATGTATTATGAGATTAATCATTCCTCTGCTTTTTTTCTTGCCTGTTTTCCTTTGTTAAAAATCAAATATTTGTTCTACATGTGTATGATAAATTTTGTTCTACTCTTAATCATGTTTTGCTCTACAAAGCCAAGTTCGAGAATGGTAAATATTGATTCAAAACAGTTGTTTTTCAGTTATAAGCATAACTTCAAATGTTGATTGAGCTACAGAAATCTCTGAAAAAAATTCAGATTTTGAATTAATTAATATGTAATATTGTATTTTATTGCACTTGGCTTTGTTTTGACTTTATTCACTTTCTGAGTTCCTTTTTTTGAATAGGCAAATAAGTCAGATTTGTGGGAAACATACTGCACTGCTTGAAATTAATTACATCTTTTAAATGTGAGATTGAATTATCCTAGAAAAGATTGATGAAATATTCTCTGTAGAGGGATTAGGATATGATTGCATGTAAACATATTACCTTTCTGAATCTCAGCTTTGGTTTGATATCAAGAGGAGTTAAAGCAGAGACATTAGGGAGAACAGTTAGGTGAGCTTTATGCTCTCAGTTTATTGTGCCTTTTTTCAGGTTTTATTTAGTTACTTTCATTATGAACCTGCAATGCTAGTTGTAGCATTACAGGAACAGAACAGCTGACTTAGGCCTAAAGGTGCAGGTTGCATCAGACTAGCCAAGCTAAGCAAGCAACACACAAGCAGTAGTGGTTGAGAGAGGAATACGGTATGGAAGTACAGAGGACAAAGCTTTCTGTGCTGACTGATAAGCTTATAATTTGAGGCACTAGTGGTGTTTGATATATAATAAACTCTGCAGATAAATTCTATGGGATATGATCAGCTCAATTTTTCTTTTCCTCCTTTGCAACTGGAAAGTTTTGCACAGTTGCCAGAAATTAATTCAGTGTATGTGAAGCAGTTGCTGTCTCTTGGCTGAAATGCAGTTGTTGGCCTGCATCACCACCACAGCAAAACAGATTAATTTAGGCTGTTTCCATGGCTAGTTACCACAATGCGTTTGACAGGTTATCTTCCTCTCTTGCAGTCATGCAAATACAGCCTTCAACACAAAATAATACTTCTTTCAAAGGAAAAAAATTGTTCATCTTAGCTAACAGTCATGATTTCTACTTTGTGATTTTTTTAAACCTTTGAATACAATGGTGAATGCACTTTATTGCACTTAAAATGCAATAGAGTTTGGACTGTTTGACTCCTAGCCTTGATCACTTCTGACAAAATCAGCAACTGTTTTTTCTAGCCCTCTGTTGAAAAGAATTGAATTGTTGATAATGATGGAACAAAGCTATTTACAACACTATTTCAGAAGGTATGTTTGAAACTTACATTCTTGTCATGCTGTCTGTAATGCTGGTGTAAAAAATTCAGGTGTTCTCAGTGAAACACCACAGAAGGGCTTGTTGATATTGACCTTAATGTCAGCATTTATCTGTTACACTTCCATAACTTAAACTAGTATATATGTAAACTGTGCAGACCTCATTATTGGACTGTAGTTGCTTACTTCATCTCAAGTATATTTGTCCTTTATTCTTGCATGTATATACCTTAGAAATTAAGGTGATGCTGACTTAACTGTGAAGGCATTCAATATTTTTCTGGTACAGGAGACTTTTTACTAGCTCCAAAATTGTACATTATCATTTCAATTTTGATGATAGGCCTTTATGTAGAGAGGACAACCTTGTGTTTCATTGGATTAATATGCAGAGACGTGGTAGACTATTTCCAGTGAGACTTCTGACTGTTTTGCTACAGCTGATTTCATTTTCATCAATTTCTCAACTGTGTTGCAGATACTGGTATAGAATTGCTTGCTCAATATCAGTTAATAATTTGGCAGTTTGACTTACCTGAAATTCTTCTATCTCCTAATCATACAGTAAATAATGTTATTATTTTAATATTAAGATCTTTTAAGTTGTTCTCAGTAATCTAACATTTGTTCATTTCTTCTAATTTTTTATTCTTCTAGTCATGGCTACGACCATCTTGAATTTGTGATGAGAATATCTCATGACACTGCTGCTTAGAAATATGTTTATATCTCTGTTGTTGTCCCTTGAAAAGGGACAAGAAGAAAAGCTATTATTCAAGGTCGCAAATGGAACAGCAAGAACCAAAACTCAACACCACCTTTGGACCATGAATATAGTTAAGACTGCCTTGACAGAAATGCTAATCAGGGGTTATTTGATGATGAGTCTTTCTCTTCTATTGAATACTGTCTTCTATTTTGTGTTAAAGGTTATTTTTTTAAAGGAGAGAAAAGACTTTATCCTAGGAAGGAATTACCCACTACTGTATCTTTATACAGGTTTTACTGGGTGTTTTTTAAGAGTTGAAATAAATGGTTTGTTTCTTCTATTTATTTTTTTTTATTTTTGAATGAATTGTGCAATACATTTTGAATGAGCAGTGGTTGAGGTGATTTTTCTGATGAAGTAGGAACTTCTTTTGACGATTCTCTCCTGATTTGATCTTGACTGTTTGCTAAAGGTCACTTCTATATGCTTTTGCCTATTTTTGCCTACAATAAATCCAAATTGCAGTACCTCATTTGTTTACTCCTAGCTTTTGTACTTATATTTTTGTGGAGAAAAGTTATGTTCCTGTAAATTCCTGTAAATAGTTCATATGTAACTGTATCATATGCTGATCTGTGACTGTTGACAGCACTAATCTAAATAGACCTGAGATTAAATAAAGTTTATTTACTGTATAATTTTGGAACATCTTTGGTATGACTTTTCTTTTGAAAGGATCCACCAGTATTGTTCTTATTTCTGTTTGAGACATCCTTAGCTATTTCCAGGCTGATATCACTCTCATAAGAAGAGCTACTCAAGTACATTAAACTGTAAAAAGTCAATGGAGACCTTCAGATTTTCAAGGGAGCACAACCTGTGAAACAGACACATGGTGAACTGAAAAGCTAACGTGAGAATGTAGCAAATGGAGAAGCTTGTGTTGTAAAAATTTTAAATTATTATAGAATCACAGAATGATTTGGGTTGGAAGGGATCTTAAAGATCATATAGTTCCAACTACCATGGGCTGGGACACCTTTTACTAGAACACATTGCTTAGGGTCCTATCCAACTTGAACACTTCCAGGATGGGGCATCCACAACTTCTCTGGGCAACCTCTTCCCACTGCCTCCCTACCCTCTCAGTAAAGAATTTCTTCCTATCATCTTATCTAAATATCTCCTCTTTCAGCTTAAAAGCGTTCTGCCTTGTCCTGTCACTATCTGCCCATGTAAAAACTTGCTCTGGAAGGCTGCAATGAGGTCTTCTGAGAGCCTTCTCTTCTCCATACTGAACAACCCCAACTCTCTCAGCCTGTCTTCATAGGAGAAGTGCTTCATTCCTCAGATCATCTTTGTGGCCTCCTCTGGACCCGCTCTAACAGGTCCATGTCTTTCTTGTGCTGAGGACCCCAGATGTGGACACAGCGTTGCAGGTGGGGTGTCCTGAGGGCAGAGTAGACTCGACTTACTGGCCAGTCCTCTTTTGATGCAGCCCAGGATACCATTGGCCTTCTGGGCTGCAGGCACAAACTGTTGGCTCATTTCCAGTGTGGAAACCCCCAAGTCCTTCTCCACAGAGCTGCTCTCAGTGAATTCTTCTCCTAGTTTGGACTCGCCTCTGGGATTGCCCCAACCCAGGTGCAGAACCTTGCACTTGGACTTGTTAAATTTCAGTAAGTTCCTATGGACCCACTTCTCAAGTTTGCCCAGGTCCCGCTGGATGGCATCCTTCCATCTGTTGTGCCAAATGCACTGCTCACCTTTGTGTCATCTGGAAACTTGCTGAGCGTGCACTCGATCTCTGTCTGTGTCACTGATAAAAGAGCACCAGACCCCTGAGGGACACCACTCATCACTGGCCTCCACCTGGACACAGAACCATTGACCAAAACTCTCTGGCTGTGTCCATCCAGCCAATTCCTTACCCACTGGGTGGTCCACCCTTCAAACCCATGTCTAATTAGGAGAAAAGGATGTCATGTGAGACCATGTCAAAGGCCTTACAGAGGTCTAGGTAGATGACATTGGTTGGTCCTTGCAGTCACTCCATCATAGAAGCCACCATGATAGAAAAGAAAAAAAAAACAAGCTGAATTCATTTGCATAGTTTTGTATCCTAATGAAACTGGAAGTGAAACAATTTGAGTGATCCAAGGTCTATTGTGGTCACTAACAGTCTGAAGAATATTGTCTGGGTTTAAATTGCTGTTTAAAGTCTAAAGAGACACAGGTTGCCTTTGGCAGTTAAGGACCAAGAGTTACATCTTCATTTCCCAATGCCTTGTCTCTGGCAAAACCGTTTTTTTATGCTGCTTTGTTATTTATAGCTTCTGGGGTTTTTAGGGGACAGTGGTCTAACTTTTTCCTTTTATCAAACATCAAATGTATCGAATTTGCTTTAAAAGTCCATTACTCCTTGTAACTGTTTCCAGTATAAGCCCTTCTCGCTGCTGCTGTTGTGTGGCAGAACGGCTTTCTCCAGCCTGTCACAGCAGCAACCTTGACCGGACTTGACATGGGTATGTTTGGCTTTGAAAAAAGCATATTCCTTGCATAGCTGGCTGAGGATTTGTGGGATTTTCCTATTGCTATCATTACAGCAATCTAAAACATATATTTGAGTTTTGGGTTTCCATGTAAAGTATATGTTGTTGTAGGCTTTGGGAACTTAAATGCAGGGATCTATTACTTTGACAGTGAGTATCACTATGATCACTCTTGTCCTCACAGGTAAGCTATTTTTCACATTTTCTGTTTCTGTTCTTTTCCCTTTCCATGAAAGATGCTAGTTATGGATTGTAGTTTGTCAAACGTGACCTAAGTGCGGTGGAAAAAACTGTAATAGTCTGTATAATATTCATACAACATTGGATGGACTAAACAATATTTTCTTCCCTTAAATGACCTAATTATAGAATGCAAAATGGATTAGAGAGTCATTGGTTTGTTTTTTTAATAAAATCAGGTAACCACTACCCATATTTGCATTTTGAAAAAAATGTTTGAGGGTTTTTTCCCTTATATGTAACTTGTTAACAATCACATTCCTCATGGGAATAATGGGAAAGTGTGTTAAGTACAACAGTTTTTTTCAGACTGAAGTTTTAACTGCTTCTAAATTTTTTTAAAAGAGAATGTGTAAATAAGGCATCACTTTACAGTTTAAATAAATGAAACAAGTTAAAGTGAAAGCATGAAAATGGTTGCTTCACTTTGAGTTCTGTTTTTTTTGTTGTTGGAGTGTCAAATGATTCTAGTAGTGCCAATGTGGGTATAAACTAATATGCTCCAGACCAAACATACTTGTGATTATAAAATATCCTTGTTTAGACACACACAGATGAAAGTCAAAGACTGTATCAAATATTTGCCTGCCTTTTTAGCAAAGGTTAGAGGTTGCCAAGCTCATTTAGATTGGATTGTTAAAGGATGCATCTGAGAGAGAAGATATTTTGATTTTCTTATGTTGAACCTTACCTTAGTCTCGTATAGCCTCCCCTGGGGCTGGAAATGGTTAATCCCAAGTAAGTTTCCGATGCAGGGCCAATGGAGAGCTGCAATTCGCCCCTGTGAAATTAGCATATTACAACAGACTGGAAGGGAAGTTGTTGGCAGAGAGAATTGGAGCCATGAGTTAGCCAGAGGAGCCCCAAGTTTAGGGGTGCCCCTGGGCATTCCGCGGCCCTGGTGCTATGGCCAGGGCTGCAGCAGTTTTTCGGCGTTTTTCCCCCCCTGTGAGCAGGGGAGTCAGCAGCGGCGATCGTGAAGCAGAGCAGAAAGAATTCCAGGCAGAGGAGAGACAAATTTCAAGCAGTCTCGCTGCTACCTCCCCCGCAATGGTGGGGGGAGGGAGCGACTTGAGACTGAAGCAGAAGAGAGACGGGCCGAGGGGCTTGGAGGTGCCCTACGTCGGGTTTGGACGAGGGCAGCCGAAAACTGAAGGACGAGGAATGCAGGGGATGGCCCCCTGCTGCCACGTGGCAGTGGAGCTGAGGCTGCAGCTGAGACAGAGAGAAGCCAAACCAAGGAGGCTTTTTCTGGGTAAGGACTTTAATGAAAGCTATTTGGGGTATAAGACTGAGCAAAAACCCAGAAAATCCTGCAACCTGGGGACAAGAGTGGACCCGAAGTGGAAAAGTTCCTGAATCTTACTCCCTGGGAGGAACCTTCATGAAGCAGGGGAAAAGGACTCAAAAGCTGACTTCCTGTAACTCGTGATGAAGACCTGGTGTAGCAAGTGTTTCCTTGCAGTCCAGGAAGAGACCTCGGCAGAGGCTGAGCAGCTAGTGGGGATGCAAAAGACCCGTTCCCCATACTCATGAGAGAGAGAGACATTAGCTATCGCCCTGAAGATTCTTCTTCTGGATTGATGTGGCAGGGCCCCAGGGGTGGTGGAAATTGTATTAATACTGTGTATTTATTTGCTTTTTGGTTTCTATAATTTTTATTCTGTTAGTAATAAATTTCGATATAATTTCCCCATGCTGAGTTGTGCCTGTCTGAAAACTTCTCTTACATTGAGGCAAATTGTGGGGGAGGTTGGAAATTGGATTTTTAGGGCTCAAACCACGACAAATATATATATGAGATTTGTAATTTTATGGACCCATATGCATGTGTACAGAAAAAAATGTGTAGATCTGTTTATAAAGATAAGACTTAAACAGGTTTATCAAACATCCTCTAGTGTCCAGTTTAAATGAAAAATATCAGGTTTTCTATTCATGTGTTATTTCAGTGTCTCAGCTGATACTTATTAGCAACATACTATTTTAAACTTTTCATAAAACATTATCTACAAATCCATCCAACTTCCAGTTATGCCATTTGTAGTATCTCTTTCTGTGTGATCTGTGCTAAAATTTATTTTCTCTCCTACGCAGTACATAGTATCTGGTTCTTTCCTCTAAAATGAGGATTTCAGACTCTGTATACTGGGATGAATACTGAGAAGATTGGTTTGATTTTTGTTGTTCTTACTCTTGCATACAATCCTATTGTCCATCTGTGTGTGCTACAGAAAATACTTTTTTTTCTCTATGGAATTTGTAAAGTTGAGAAACTTATTTTTCATTTGCTTTTTCAAGAAAAGGTAGCTCTTTTGCAATGTCATTACAGCTTTTTTGTGGCCATCAATACGAGCAGAAACTGGCAGCTGCTCCACTATGCATGGAATATCAAGACCAAGCTATGGAGTACCTGGAGAACTATACTGCTTCTGGCATATCTCATGCCAATAACAAGTCCTATGGAGTCCCACAGTTTACTTCTCTGAACTCCTGTATATGTATAGTACACAACAACAATTCTCAACATAGTTTAGAATTTAGGAATAACTGGGTTGCAGAGAATCCTAGATTATTTGGTGAAGGGCTCAAGCTTTTAGTGCTCACACACACAACTGTAGGAAGTGCCTTTTCTGTGTGTGAACAGGTTTGGATCTCTTAAAGATGATAAATAGGCTATTGTTCACATGAACTTTTTACACAAGGACTGTGTGATAGTTAGAATGTGGAATAATAAACATTGAGTGGCTGAATAATAGAAAGCAGATGTGCCAAGAATGGCAAACAAAATGTTTGAAAGCTGTGCTGTAAACTGGACCTTTCAACAAGTGGCCAAAGCTTGTGAGACCACCAGGATCTCAGCCTTATAGATTTTAAAATAGAGGCTAAATAGGAAAGTAGAGATACTACTTCAAT